GTTTCTTTGCTAACTCTTTCCCTCACTAACTCTTTCTTTGACTAACTCTTTGTTTGACTAACTCTTTCTTTGACTAACTCTTTCCCTGACTAACTCTTTCTTTGACTAACTGTTTCTTTGCTAACTCTTTCCATCACTAGCTCTTTCTTTGACTAACTCTTTGTTTGACTAACTCTTTCTTTGACTAACTCTTTCTTTGACCAACTCTTTCTTTGACTAACTCTTTCCCTGACTAACTGTTTCTTTGACTAACTCTTTCTTTGACTCACTCTTTCCCTGACTAACTGTTTCTTTGACTAACTCTTTGTTTGACTAACTCTTTCCCTCACTAACTCTTTCTTTGACTAACGCTTTCCCTGACTAACTGTTTCTTTGACTAACTCTTTCTTTGACTAACTCTTTCTTTAACTAACTCTTTCCCTGACTAACTGTTTCTTTGACTAACTGTTTCTTTGCTAACTCTTTCTTTGACTAACTCTTTCTTTGACTAACTGTTTCTTTGACTAACTCTTTCTTTGACCAACTCTTTCTTTGACTAACTCTTTCCCTGACTAACTCTTTCTTTGACTAACTCTTTCTTTGACTAACTGTTTCTTTGCTAACTCTTTCCCTCACTAACTCTTTCTTTGACTAACTCTTTCCCTGACATTCTAAAAGTAAGTAACACGGAAGTTTCTCCCCCTAAACTTCCTTTGATAATATAATATAATATAATATAATTTATTTTAATATAATATAATATAATACAATATATAATATATATAATATAATATAATAGAATATAATATAATGTAATATTATATAATATAATTATATAATATAATGTAATATAATATAATATAATGTAATATAATATAATATAATGTAATATAATATAATATAATATAATGTAATATAATATAATATAATGTAATATAATATAATATAATATGATGTAATATAATATAATATAATATAATGTAATATAATATAATGTAATATAACATAATATAATATAATATAATGTAATATAATATAATGTAATATAATATAATATAATATAATACAATATAATATATATATAATATAATATAATATATATAATATAATATAATATAATATAATATCATATAATATAATATAATATAATGTAAAATCATATAATATAATATAATATAATAGAATATAATACAATACAATATATAATATATATATATATACATATACGTATATACGTATATACGTGTATATATATATATGTGTGTGTACTGTATCATAGTATATATTGTATATTATATGTTGTATGTATACACACATGTTGGTTTGTTGTTGATATTTGCTGATGCTGTTGTTTATCTTGTGAGATCATTAACTGGGGAACTACGCGGAGACATGTTTGAAAACCTTCAGATCTTGGGGTCACCCTGAACCAAGTGAGCACCACACAGCGCCCACAAGATGGGGATGGTCTGGGATGGATGACAGTAGATCGGCTCAACAGAAATGGCATGGTTTCAGATCTTAAATGACCAGAAAATGATGCACATATATGCACATATGGGGATTATATCGGCCCGAAGCTTGGTACAATCCATTATTGGTCGCAACACCCATTTCTCCTTGAACTTGAATCCGCCAGTGCTCCCAATCATCACCTTCAATGACATCTGGTAATCAACCATGGCCTGTTGGAAAATCAGCCAATTTCGATGATTTTCCCATTGAAAGCTCCATCGGGCCATGGCGGGATTTGCCGGCTCAGGTGGGCAAGATGGGTTTGCTGTCTGTCCAATTTCCCAAGACCTTGTCCCGAGTTTTAAACACGGCCCGGCAGCTCAATCGCCGGGCCGCCGGGCCTGGGGCCATGCATGACTGGATATGTACCCCAGAAATGGATGCTTTAGAATGGAAAATCCATTTATAAATGGATGATTTGGGGGTAGCCCTATTTTAGGAAACCCTGTTAACTTTCGTAATTCATGGGGGGTGCTTGTATTTAAGGTCGGGGGGTTGTGCATAAGGCTAGGTAGTGTTGACGGTCATTGAAATTGGTATGGGGGCTACACCGACCTTGATAACGAAGTTGAACACGAGATAAAGATCACAATTAACCCCACTGGGCAATGCTTGCCAGCTTGCCCATGTAGAACTTATGGTCTGATCGTTGTATTGATTTATATTTGGTACATGTTCCCATGTTCAGTAAGACGCTGTCTCCCAGCTTGTTTTTTGTTCCTGTAGGCCCTGGGCGTGTCTCGCATTTGTTGATTCTCATCCAGTTGAAGTCCCACAAATCTTATTATGTGCACGGTGCCCCACAGCACAAAAATGTGAGAGGCCAAGTCGATCTTACAAAAACAAACCATCAATTTGTATGATTTTTCCAACTAAAAAATCAATCATTGAATTAAAATTGGACAGCTGTGAAAATCTAGTTGTGGAAGGTGGCGGGGTTGTCTTTCAGGTTTGCCCCCGAAATAAGGTGCATGCAGTATGCAAAATTCATAAGATCAAATGTAGGGGATTCTTGGCAGAAGAGAGGGTTGCGAAGACAGGGTTGCGCAATTAATTTCGGGACGCGGCCAAGAGTTCAGTTAATTTTTTTCATTTGTTTCTTCTATTTTATTTCAGTACAGTTTTACTTTCTTTTTTTGCAGCCAGAATCCTGTGCCTTGCCGGCTGCTCACAAAAGGTAGTCTTTAACAAAGGCCCGCCGCAGGCGACATTTTTGAGCATAGGATCGTCGCCCAGGAAGCATTAATTCCATCAATCTGAAAGCAATGAAAAAACAAACAATAAATAGATGTATTGCGTTTTCCTTGTTTTCAATTCTTCTAGTTTTCTTTTTTAAATTCTGTTCAGTTTTTCATTTATTTCCTTTTTGCGTTTTCATTCTATGTTTTTCTCTTGTTTATGTTTTCTGTGTGTTTTTTTTGTCTCCGCAAAATCCTTAAATTCAAAGGCTGGCCTTGAATTTAAGGAAATTCGGCTTTTTCCCATGTTTCTTTTTTAAAAAAAAAATGAAATTTGATCTTTTTGCAAAATCCACCGTTTTTGATTTTTTACACAAGGAATTTTCCAAATAAAAACACTGAAATAAACTTTTTAAATATGTTTTTCCTGCAACATATAATTGTGGGAAAAGTCAAAATTCTTTGAATTCAACGCCGGCCAGTAAGATTAAGGAAATAAGGAAAATACAATAACAAATATATAATGAAAAAACACACAAGCAAAAAAAAAAATACATTAGAACCATTTCCAAAAAAAACAAGAAAGAAACAAAAAATGGAAAGGTAAAGAAAATCCAAAATATAACGAAAACAAAAACAACAGAAAAAAAATACAAAAAAAAAAACGAAAAAAAAACGGAAGGAGAAAGAAAAAAAAACACGCGAAAAAAAAAAGAAAAAACGGAAACAAATCAGGAAAAAAACGGAAAAACATCGAGAAAAAACGGAAAAAAAAAACGTTTAAAAAAGAAAAAAAAATCGAAAAAAAAAAAAAATCGAGAAAAAAATTGAAAAACAAAAAAAACGACCAAAAAAAAAGGCGAACAAAAAAAAACGAAAAAAAAAAAACGAAAAAAAACAAAAAAAAATCTTATTTCAGGCAAAAATACCTTAAATTCAGCCCTAGGGTTGAATTTAAGGATGCTGTGATGACTTTGGCCTATATTTTTGCTCCAAAATATGAGAAATATTGGTTTTGGAGTGGATTTTGTAGGCCAAATTTCTTTTTTTGGCATAGTAATTTTGATATTTTTTCATTGTTTTGGGCTTTTTGTTTGCAATTCACTATGCCAAAGTCATCACAGCATCCTTAAATTCAACCCTAGGGCTGAATTTAAGGTATTTTTGCCTGAAGTAAGATTTTTTTTCGTTTTTTTTTTCCGCCCTTTTTTTTTCGGGTTTTTTTTTTTTCGATTTTTTTTGTTTGTTTTTTCGATTTTTTTTCTCGGTTTTTTTCGTTTTTTTCTTTTTTTCGCGTTTTTTTTTTTCCGTTTTTTTTTTTTCGTTTTTTTTCCGCGTTTTTTTTCGATTTTTTTCTCGATGTTTTCGTTTTTTTTTTCAGTTTTGTTTTGATTGCTTTTTTTTTTCCGCGTTGTTTTTTTTTCGTTTTTTTTTCCGATTTTTTTTCTCCATGTTTTTTTTTGGTTCGTTGATTTTTTTTCTTTTTCGTTGTTTTTTCTTTGCTTTCATTTCGTTTGTTATGTTGTTTTTTTTTCGTGTTTTTTCCTTTTGTTTTCCTTTTTTTCCTTTTTTTTCTCTGTTTTTTCCTTTTTTTTTCATCTATTTTTTTCGTATGTTTTTTTTCGTTGTTTTTTTCTTTTCCTGTTTTTGTTTCCTGTTTTTTCTTTTTTGTTCGTTCCTTTTTTTCTCTTTCTTTTCATTTTTTGTTCCATTTATTTGTTTCCGTTGTTTTTTTTTCTTTTCGGCTTTTTGCTTTTTTACTCCTATTCGTGTTTTTTTTCTGTTTTTGCTATTATTTTTTCCTTTTTTTCGTTCATTGGTTGTTTCTATGTACCTCGGTTTCCTTTACGTTTCTATATTTTTTCTTCGTTTTGTTACCAAATGCATGGTTCTCATGTTTTTTTTTGCCATGTTTTATTTGTATGTGTTTCTCATTATTTGTTTTTCTATTTTCCTTATTTCCTAGCTGAGGGGCTGGCCTAGAATGTAAGGAAATTTGACTTTTCCCACAACTCAAAAATGCCGCCTGCGGCGGGCCTGTGCTGAAACAAAAAAATGAGCAGCCTGCAAGGCTTCTGGCTGCAAACAATAAGAAAGTAAACGTCGATTTACATCAAAAAACAAAAAACAGTTAAAACAAAACTGACATAATGAAACAAGATTTGACAAACAAAAGCAAAACAAACACTGAAGATCATTGAAGCATGTAAATTACTTCTCAATGGCCTTCTTGCCGGCAGCTCACCATGGTCATGGAACAAGTCCAGTAAGCTGTTGGAAAATATTGGAAATATTAGTTTTGGATAATTCTTTAGGTGCCTGCATTCGGTTCTTTGTGACTCCTGTGGTCTTCTGCGACGACTTTATTTTGGCCGACACTGACACCATCTACTAGTTTTGTCACCCAAAATCTTCACAAATTGAACCATGTGGATGGGTGCAATTACATGATTCAACACAAATTGCCTAAAACCCAGTGGAACTGGATGTCAAGCTAAAACTGTTGGTTTGCAAATATCCTAAAGCTTATTTCAAGTTCATCAGCCATTTGAAGGCAGCTGCATTGGCAAATGATTTAAGCAGTTTTGTTGCCAAAATGTATTGATATATATTCTTTGCTCAGTTTGTCCAGATGTGTATCACAGTGTTGCAAACCTTTCTCAAGCTGTCTCCGATTATATGTTTGCATCTTCACTTTGGGCCACCATGCTGATTTTCGAAGCACATGCTCATGCACGTGGTCCCGGTTTTATTTCAATTCCTTCAAATCAGAGTAGCGTTCATATCTTTCCTCACAAGCCCTTCTGCCATACCCGCATGGCTTATATACAACCCTAATACCTTAGCAGCAAGGAATTACGAAAGTTAACAGGAAACCCCCTAATATACTTCCCATATTTTTTTTCCAGGATTCCCCCGCGAAAAATAGAATCCTTTGATCCCAGAATTGATTGAGGGGAACATGTGCATGAAATTGTTTGAGAACCTTTTTGGGGATAGAAGCTGGAGTTGCAGGTACTAGGATGAAATGACCCGTGTCCATGTCTACGCATGAACTTACAATGCTGGGGTGATGTTTCGACGAAAAGGATGTAGTTTCCAGGAAAGATGTCACATGTTGAACCCCATCTTTCCTTGATGGGACGCCTTTTCACTAGGACCTAAGACCTATGACTGAGCCTTTTAATGGATAACTTCTGTGTATATATAAATATGTATATATATATATGATTTATGATATATACATATAGAGGGAAAATTGAAAAACTACTCCATTTCATATGTCGCGCCGTTTGAAAGTCATGTTTTTTGATAATATGTGTTTAGTCCAAAAATCGGACTCCCTTCAGAGTCATAGTGCTCATGGGTGAAGGCTATCTCCAATGACATACCCGACATACCGAGGACGTGGTGCTTGCAACTGGTGTGCAGACTGCAGGGCAGCTCAGGGACGGGTCTGTGGCAGTGGACCGATACCCTATGAGATTGGTGAATGCGAACCAAAGATAAGCGGAAAACCATGATTTTGGACATATTTTAAGCTCCAAATACAGGGGTAAAAAAGCATGTAAACCCTTTAAACCAATTCTAGGATATGGCATGGTTTGCCTTTAATTTCTCATCACAAATTGGCATTTTGGGGTATCACCCATTTTTGATATACACACATGATTAAAAAAAAACAACTTTATTTTTCAATGTAATTTTCAACGCGGTGGTCGTTGTTTTGATTTGTTGGATGTGAACTAGGGTGCAAGAGGTTGAACTGACCCACTCAATTGGTTTCCGGCATAGATGGTGGAATTTGCCGAGCAATACCTGTGACATTTCCACCAATTTCACTCTTTTGGTAGCTTGAAAACAGCAAAATCCCAAACAAGCATTTACAGTACCCTTGAAAATCAAACCATATAAACATTCACGAATATTGTTTGTGGTTTTTGTGATTTGTTTTGAAGGCTCAGATTTGCAGCTCACCCCATTTGCCTCTTGAGCAAATTCTTATTTGTCATCGATAAATCATCAACAATGGGTGGTGTTCATGTCCATGCTCGATTACCCCCCCTGTGTTGGGTGGTTAAGTCCCCATTTGATAGTAAATCCATGTAAATCCTAACTTGTTTTGATAGTGAAATCCACTTAAATTGTCAGAAATCAGAAATCACTTAAACATAAATCAATAATTGCTGGTTCTATCCCCACCAATGGATATACATCTAACATCCTCTAACTTTCATAAATCAATAAATCCTCATTTCGTCAAGTTTTCCAACGTTTCAGCGTTGAATCACGTTGAATCCCCATGTGTTGTGAGTTGACCGAGCTAAGGCCAAGGGACAGCGCGACCCTGAGGCGGTGGAAGACATCAAGAAGCGCAATGGCTGTCGCTGGGAAACCCAACCAATGGGAACCAGAGATGTTAGCTGATTTTTAGTATTGGTATTTACCTTAGGAACCCAAACCCGCAAAAAACGTAGGGTCAGTGGAAAAACCCGAGGTTTCTGGCAGAAACCCGAGGTTTCCAAACCAGTACTAAAATACGGGGTTAGTACGGGTAAAATACGGGGTTAATACGGGTTAAATACGGGTTCAGTCCGGGTTTGAAAAAGAAAAACCGAGGTTTGCGTAAGAAACCCGAGGTATTTTCATTTCGTCAGACATACCCGAGGTTTCGAGTCAGACCCTACAAATTTCCAGGGTTTGGGTTCGCAGGGTAGTATTTAGCATGTTTTTTGGGGCTAGGATGATACATCTATTAACATGTATTAACATGTTTCGAGATTCTTTTGGGGTTAAGACGGTTAGGATGATTTAGGATTTAGGATTATTTAGGATGTGTTTGGACTATTTTGGACTCTGTTTTTGGGTAGGGGATGTCATCCACGAGAATTTAAGGGGAATAATGAAGCGACAAGGGATACAAGGAAAAATACGGGGTATCAAGATATGCTACAAGCCCAGTTGGGGTTAATTCAAAAACAGATGAGGATGGATCGATACAAACAGGACCATCAGAAGGGGGTATATAATGGTATATACATCCATAACCACCAGCTATGTTGCTGCGAACACACGGGCCGCATTTCAAAGAAAACTCGGGAGTCAACCATCCATTTTTCAGGGTTCAACCTATGGTTCAAATCACAAAACAAATGCGAAAGTCATGGGTGTGTGATCCCAGCCCCCTAATAACAACGATACCCGTATACCCTGATTTGATGCACTTATTTGTATAATACTATGTGACTATGATTCTCATTAAGGACGTCCCATATGATATCCCATCATTTCCCCATTATAATACGGTATAGCCTCCTTTAGTCAAACATCGCAATGGGAAATCCGAAAAAAACATGGTGAGATTTCCATTCCCAGAGGGTAGGGGATTTCGAGGTGGACCCCGCTGGGTGTTGCGATAAAAAAACACAACTAAGATGGATATGTTGGATAATAATGGACAACGAACAAGTTAATACTATCTAGTAAGATAAGATATCATTATCCATTGTCCATTACATATGTTATTGTTAATGATATCTAAGATACTCACAACTAAGATAATAACGGACAATATAACTACCAAAGAAGTAACATCATAGTATAATTATATATATGATTCTATATATATATATAACTATATTAAACTATACATACTAAGATACGGAAGACCCAACCGGAAAAAACAACCACGGAGCACTGGGACTTCCTTACGGAGGAGTGATCAAGCTCACTCGCAACAACCGCGACTCCCTGGTGGACCAGGTCGTCGATTTCCAACGTCGTTTTGAGTGATGAACTATGGAAAATGGCCCAGTCGAAATAGTGGATTTACCCATGAAAAAATGGTGGATCTTTCCATAGTTATGTTAGTTCACCAGAGGGTGTCTCAGAAATGAAGAGTCATGATCTGGTTGATGGTTTGGAACATGACTTTTATTTTTCCATAATACATGGGATAATCTTGCCCATTTACTTTCATATTTTTCAAGATTGTTAAAACCACCAAGCAGTAATTGATTAAAAGAGGCATTTCAAGTGAATCAATGATGAATCAATTGTGATAATGTCAACGCCAGATTAATAAACCATGGTTTATGAAAAAATGGGGGGGGGTACTCCTCCAATAGTCATTTCATCTGATACTTAAATGGTACCCTCCAAATTAAACAGCCAAGCGGGTTATTAATCCAAGGTTGACATTATGTGATATGTCTTTCAGGTGAATGAATTGTGTGTGTGTGTTTTTCCCCACCTGCCAGGTGAGGGTTGTTAGATTTTATGTCAGTTGCCTCCTCCTCCTTCTCCTCCTCCTCCTCCTTCTCCTCCTCCTCCTCCGCCTCCTCCTGCCTCGTCCTCCTCTCCTCCTCCTCCTCGTCCTCCTCGTCGTCCTCGTCGTCCTCGTCGTCCTTGCTCAACTGCGCCCCGCGATCCACAGTGTTCTCTGCCGGACCTCAACCACGACCATCCACGCCCAGTGTTCCCTGCCGGACCTCAACCACGACCATCCACGCCCAATGTTCCCTGCCGGACCTCAATCACGACCATCCTCGCCCAGTGTTCCCTGCCGGACCTCAACCACGACCATCCACGCCCAGTGTTCCCCGCCGGACCTCAACCGCGAGTATCCACGCCAAGTGTTCCCTGCCGGACCTCATGTAGGAAGATATGGGACAAAGAATGTGCAGAAGAAAGCTAGAAAGAATGTCAGAAAGAATGTCAGAAGATATGCCAGAAGATATGCCAGAAGATATGCCAGATAGAATGCCAGATAATATGCCAGAAGATATGCCAGATAGAATGCCAGATAGAATGCCAGATAGAATGCCAGAAGATTTGCCAGATAGAATGCCAGAAAATATGCCAGAAGATATGCCAGATAGATATGTCAGAAGATATGCCAGATAGATATGTCAGAAGATATGCCAGAAGATATGCCAGAAGATATGCCAGAAGATATGTCAGAATATATGCCAGAAGATATGTCAGATAGAATGCCAGAAGATATGTCAGAATATATGCCAGAAGATATGCCAGATAGAATGCCAGAATGAATGCCAGAAGATATGTCAGATAGAATGCCAGAAGATATGCCAGATAGAATGCCAGAAGATTTGCCAGATAGAATGGCAGAAGATATGCCAGAAGATATGCCAGATCATATGCCAGAAGATATGCCAGATAGAATGTCAAATAGAATGTCAGAAGATATGTCAGATAGAATGCCAGAAGATTTGCCAGTAAGAAAATGTATAAATGTCATGGTGGGGATCACACGAAGTAAAGTAATTTATATACTTTTCCCAGATACAAGAAATGACAATTTCTTTAGGTGTCCCCGAACATCGCGTATGGTTTGCCTGGGTAAATTGTGTTTATATCTTGATGTGCCTATTTAATTTTTGGGCCCGACTCATTTCAACGCCGTTTTAACCGGCACAATCATTATTATATAATATATACATACTATATACATAATCGTCATGATCACAATTGACTGAAACTTGCTGGTAGTGATGCAAAGAACGTTGCACGCACACACACACACACCGTAGATGGACGAATTATTCAAACCTTTTCCATCTAGTACAACCCACTCACCCCCAAAGTTCAATGTTAATGTGAACTGAGGTGCTTTGGCTCCAAAGGACAAAATAATCAAACCCCCAAAGTCACCTTTGCTAACACGTGCATTGAAACATTGAGGTCTGGGGGTCGGTGGTTCAACACAGAGCCTGTTGCAGGGTTTTAATATCATACACACACACATACACATACATATATACGTCTTGTATGTGTTCATTTGTGTAAAATAGACAATGTTGACCTATCCTATGATATATCCTATCCCTTTCTTAGTCTGTGGTCGCCATAGCAGAACTCCCTAGGGAATGGTGGATGGCTGTGCCCTGTCCCAGCGCCAGACCTACGCACAACTGCGTGAGAGTCTAGGACTGGGTCCACCTGGTACTGGCAAGCCTCGTGTGAGAACGAAGAAGAAGAAGGACTCGCTGGTAAACTCTGGCTGTGTGCTGGGGATGGTTTTAAGCTGTTACAGGTGTATACAATTGTATACAAGTGTAACATGTACGTATATTGAATATTGGGCTATACGGGGTATCTCAGATTCTCCATGCGGGAATCAGTCGCCAAGTGTTGCTGCGGGAGGAAGAAGAACGTAAGGCCAAGGAGAGGGCCGAGCGCGAAGCACGCGAACAAGAGGCCGTGCAGCAAAAATTGGGGGTTAGATATCCCCTGAAGTGGCAAAGTTTTTATATAGATATTGGGAATACATGGGAATTATGATAGATAGATTGCCTGTTTTACAATTATCTTAAACCATCGAATATGTAAAGGATACGGGATGTGCCGTTGCCACACTGCCACAGGGAATCAGCATCACCAGGTTGAATGAAGGAGCTTGGTTGCTTGTGTGCTTAGGCACTTGTATGTACAATGCATCGTAAGATATCGTAAGTTCATGTTCCTTTCTACTTGATATTGCAAAAGACGATTCTGTTTGTATATTGAGCTGACAGCAGTAGGAATCTCAGTAGAAGGACTCGCATTTCCTCCATTGATTCTGTGGATGCGACAGGAAAAAGAAAGAGAAGAAGCCGCTGAGAAGGAAAAGGCTGCAAGGACCAAGCGCGCTTGTCATCAAATTTCGGAACATATCAGAACATGTAAATGTAGATGTTCTACCTGTATGTGCATCCCAGTTTGCATGGAGCCTGATAAATATATTTACCTCAGTTATAGATAACTGTAATATTGTGTGTATAATATATATAATAGAAATACATATTATACACATACATGTAACCATATATTCATATGTATATATATATAGGGTTAATAGGGATACATACACATAGCTAATTCTGACTTCTTACAAAGTGGTAAGCACATCCAACTGCATGTGCATGTGCATGTTTCACAGATGTTTGTCTCAGCTGCTCATCTTAAGTTCCGTAAAGTGGTGACTGCAGCCGTTCTATTGGCGTCAACTTTGTTATCCTTCCAATAATGTGTGTCCTTTCTCCAAATGAGGATCCAGAACTATACAATTGTACTGTATGGTTATACATGTGCGCTTTACACAGAATCTATCAGAGTCTTATTCTGTACACGGTACATTCAATTGAATGTTCCTGTCATGTTTGATGGAAGATATCTGTGGTTGCTCCATCAATGATACACGATGTATATGAAAAGGTATAGAACTCTGCGTGCATGTAGTTGTATATAGAGTATACATATGTATACATATCTCTACATCATATGTGTACATGTATAAATATATATGATTTATATAAATACATCCTCTACACCTTACATCTTGCTGAGACCATTCATCGCCTACATTTGTGCGGTTGCTACATGTTCAGCACCCCATTTGCAGGAGGGAGAGGCAAATGGTCACGCACCAAGTGGAGATTGTATGTTTTCCAAAGTGCATAGCGTTCATGTTCAAGTTGTCAAGTCCAGCTAGTTCTCCCCAGGTGAAAACTGCCCAAATCACTGCGATACGCCGAGGCCAAGGAAAAGGCACGCGCAGAGCGCCTAGCGAAGGACGGAGATATACTGAGATCATTGGATGAAGAGTTCTGAGCAGTTTCAACAGTCCTAGTTATTGATAGTTTAAAGCACTTAAAAGGGAATTCATGATTGATAGTTTATTTAGATTTATTTAGTGAATCCCTAGTTCATTCTTGAATTAAATGGGTATCAAATTAACCAATATTATCTTTTGGATGGCTGTCAGGGTGAACGTTTTGGGTAATGGATGATCCATTCATCTATTCGGGTGTTTTTAAGCTATACAATAGCTATACCTTTTGCGCGTAGGGAATTGTCATAATTCATGAACTTGGAATCTCCATGAAAACCAACCCGCTAAAACACTCGAAGCTGTGACTGTCCCAATGCGACAGCCACGTGGTGCTGGTATTGTTTGTTCCTGTTTGGTCCTGTTTGTTGTTTTCATGTTTTCAACAGGTTCAAAACGTATTTTTGTTACCAGACGAGCACGGTATCACCCGTATCACCCTTCACCTCCAATAAATATATGTCAATACTCCAAGTTAGCGAATGTGCACCCTAACCAGCCCTAATTATTGAGATATTCCACTCTGTGTAAAACATCATTTTTATATACGTTTATCGCTTTTATCGGACGGCACGTCTGTGTAAACACATATCATAGTTGAGTTGCCAGGAACGAGCTGAAAGGGAGGTTGAGGCGGCCAAGGTTGGCGAAGTCTTGAAGCCCTTGATGCAATGGTAGATATGGATGTGCCTGGAAATAGGGTATACCCCCAATTATAGCCATTGAATAGGGAACATGAGGATAATCCAATGGAAATCCAATGGATTTGGGGCTACAGTGCACTATTTTCAGACAGACCCATATGATCCCATATGGATGTGTCTGGACATGGGGATACCCATAGGCTGGTATTTATGTGTGTGTGTGGAAGGTATGACAACAAACATTGACTAACCACAACAAGCCATCAACTTGTGGCTACCAATTTTAAGACAACGCCATAGATTATAAAGAGGAAACCGGATGATCTGAAAAAATGACTAGTGACTAGTGCTTGTTGATGTGCTTGTTCCCACAGGCTACTCATGAATTGATGTATAATTGGAGAATTCAGCTTGAAAGATCAAGTGGCCACAGTTATATACTGACCTGTTGCAAAGTGAGAAAACATGAAAAGGTGTCCATGGATTTGAGAGCTGGGGGAAACCCTGCTTACAAAGATACTGTATGCCAAGAATGCCAAAGATTCCCTTGAAAAACAATGGCACTGTTTCTTCACGATCACCTTCAGTGATTCAGACGTACCTCAAATTGTCTGAAACCGCAATCCCTTGATGTCCTATGTGCGAAAACTTTGGAACATATCCGTCTAAGTTGGATGATATTTCCAGACTTCTATCTACTGTATTTTCTTTTGCTTTGGAAGGTCATGCTACTGAAGGATGATCAAAACAAATCATCCAATTGGTTTGTTGTCCTTGGTTTCGCAAGCCGTCATGGTGGGGCAGTCGAAGGTAATTGGCTTCTTGCTGACAACCGTGTCGATGTGTTGAAGGACGAGTTTCGCACGATTGTCCGTTTTTGCCATCAAATTTGGTCCTTGACTGTCCTTGTTGCTCTCAAAATTATTCCAAATTCGGGTACCCCACAACTAATTAGTATAAATTGTCTCCTAATTTTAGTGTTTTTGGGGGGTCCCCCAATTTTGAGAACCTCCCATGTTTGGTCCTCATTTCACACCAGGCTCGAGCCGAGAGGAAGCGTCGTGCTGAAGCTAGAAAGAAGGCCCTGGGGTCAGAAAAGGGTCGAAGTCGCCGTGGAAAGAGTCTATTGAAGGGGCGATGGAAGGCGAAGCTGCCAATAAAGAAATCAGAAATCTGATTTCATTTCTATTGCATTTTGTTTGATTGGCTTTTCCGTCCTGCAAGATTTTTTTTGCAATATTTTGTGCAGCGAGCGAGCTAATGGGCCTAGATGCTGAAAAGCACCTTGATAAGCGTACGTAAGCTGTTTACCAAATGTGTACAGCTTCTGCCATTTACGAATCTCTAACTACAGGGAACTGCTAAAGTCGTCTCGTTTTGTGTTGTTTTCAAGAAATCAGCTGCGGAACAGTGTCTTGCAGAAGTCGTCTGTTTTTGGCTTCCCGCAAGCTGAATGCAGGATTTGTGATGATGTTTTGTTTTTGACCCATTATTTTGCGAATGTTGCGTTTAGGTTGGTGTTTGCATGAAAACACTTTGGGGTCTTGTTGCTTAAATGTTGCGTTGCCTGTATAAAAGATATATATATATGACATTATTATTCCATTTCAAGATCGTAACTAGGTGATAAAAAAAAACATTCAGTAAATCTAGCGTTCACATGGGCGAAACCATCAAAGGGATGACTTAGGGATGACTTCTTGGAAACAGCGTTGACAATGGGGAAAACCCAAAAGGGACAGTGAGGGATGACTTTCACTTCTACCTGTAGTCCTTATTCCTAGTTGTTTGTTGTTTTTGAAATATGTACACATGTTATTACAACCTTGCTTAAAACATGGTTCTGTATGGTGAATATCGATATCCCTGTTGGTTGTATGCAGCAGTGTGTTTCTCTTACAGTAAGACTCTTAAAGAGTTTCCCATGTACGTTGGTTATATATAACATTGCGCAAATAGACATATTTAATGTGTGTTCATTCCTAAAATATGTACTTTCAACGATCAATGGTTAGTTGCGTACCCGGTTTGTTTGTTAAATCATTAAATCCCATTTTCAAGAAACATCAAATCCCATATAAATCCCATGAAATCCCATATAAATCCCATATAAATCTAATCAAATCCTAAATAAATTCCATGAAATCCCATATAAATCCCATGAGTTTCACCGATTTTTCCCATGAGTTTTCCATGATATTCCCACCTCAATGGCCTGGTTCTCGGTTTCTCAGTTTGGGCCGATGCCGATGGCGATGGCCTGAGGCCATGGAAGATGCCAAGAATGGCGTGGCGAGGAGTCCCAGTTGGGGTGTTTTCTGACAGCTCCAACACTAAGAGCATCAATAGAATAATATAGTGGTATATCTTGTGTATTACTCTTGGTGATCACTAATTAATATATCTATTCTATCATATAGTGATACACCATAAATAGTGATACACCAATGTATATTAGATATATGGTGTATCACTATTTATGGTGTATCTATAGTATTTAGAATTCATATATCTATATATATATATATGGTAAATGATAACGACCTCACTGTTCTACCGAGCCCTGGAATCATGGTTAGTAAGAGGAATCATCCCAAAATGGCCTTATTTCAGGTTAGTGAACTATTATAATTTACCCAGATATATACAATAGATACACCATAAATATTGTATTAATAGAATTATATATTATAGTATTGGTCTATGTTAATACAATACATACAATACTATCATGAAATAAGATGATACACATAATTTTTGATTCAATGACACAATATGATATCAACGTATTATGTGTTGCTTTATAATCTAATCTATTTTGATCTAATACAATTATTTGTTTAGAGAGAGAGATTATTTGCTGCATTCATTTGGGATGAGGACTGCAGGATACCAGGGTTTGGAAACCCCATTCCTATTCTTTCGTCGTAGACAGTGTTGAATCCCAGAGACAGAACCCCCGACCCACTGAGCACACTATTGATCATTTCAGTAGGACACGCCTCATGTTACATAGCTGCAGCATGTTGCACCTGGTTTCTCCATTCGATGGGTGATGACCCCACAATTTTTGAGGAGCTTTATGCTCCAACTGCAAACAAACCCTACGAGGTTCCCTGTGTGGAGCATGAAGATGCAGATGATGTGGAGGAGTCGAGTTGCGGGGTGCCACGATGTGGGGAAGACGGCATCATTTCCGGATGTGGAAAACCCAATACCATAAACCTACTATGACTGGGGATGGTTTTTACAACCCATAAAAATGGTGATTTTGGGGATGGTTTACCCACACTTGGGAACTTGGAAAGCATCAATTCGATGGACTTCAATCCAGACATATCCAGACATTCAGATGTGAGTACATACCATACACAATCATAGTCATAGACATTCATAGACCAACAAGAACAAAAGGTATGCAGTACGTAGTATGTAGCATGTAGCATACAAGTTTAAGCAAGATCTAGTTGTATCCCTTTGGAACAAAAAGACAGGCCCCAGAAAGGCAAAAAACACATATTTGAACTTCATGCCCAAGTTTAGGAGGTTCGGTGTTTTTTTTTAACATGTCCCCATTTTTGGAGGAACAACCACAAGAGCTTGGCTTCGTCGAGCCATACATTTCGTCGTTTGCTGACGTCTGGATGTCAATCCTCCATGACGTCTGGATGGGGTAGATCGATTCAGAGCGTCTTTCAAGCTGCACATCATAAATATGTCATACATGAGTCCATGTTCATCAATCTCCTGTATGGTAGATAACAACTACATATATCTACATATGATATCACACAATCATATATATAGTGTTATTATAGTATATTATATTGTTATATGTTTATTGTATATGCACAATCATATTTATATATACATATATATATACATATATATATATATACATATATATATATACATATATATATATATATACATATATATATATATACATATACATATATATATTCATACATATGTATGTATATATATATATATATCCAGACTTTTCAGCTGCAGCACATGTGAACACGTGAAACAGCCACGGGAGGAGATGGCGCCCTCCTTCGATTTGGTGGATGATGCCATCGAGGTTGAGGCCCATGCTGCCACTGAGGATCAGTTTGTAGATCTGATCTGATAGCAAAATATCTATCGTATGTATGTAATGTACTGTGCTGTAATGTAATGTCATGTCATGTATGTATACTATATATTTATATATTAGTAGTACTATTATTACACGATCTTAGTGCATCAATTATGGATTTGATATGTATAGAGTACAGATACTTTTATAGCATTTGTGTAGGACATGTATGACACAGACCTTGTGAGGAGGCTCCACGGAAGAGACGGAGGGCCTTGAGCAAGGCGTGGAGATCTTTCGGAAGACCAACTTGTTGAAGTTTGAGCAAACTAAGTGGCTAGGGGCTCCAACCAACATTCAATGGGAGTTTCAGGATCCTGAAGTGGAGGTACTGTACCATATAAGGCCATACATATGGTTGGCTATTGAAAAAATGGGGGGAGTTAGAATCCCACAGTAGCACCCCCGAGGCCCCAGAGATGTTAAGAGTAGCCCCGAAAGGGTTGCATCACGGGATGCCCCAGTGTCTCACGCGCCCACAAAATGGTCCTTAAATGACCCGAGAAATAGACCATACATATGGCAATTTATGGCCGTTCAAATGGGGAAGATGATCAATGGATGTTGGGTTTTCCAAAATCCTGGAATCGTGACTGAACCTGTAACCCAAAAGATGCTAACAGTATGTACCAGTCACAAGTCTACAGTATAGTGTGAGAGTCAGGATCATTTCCAACTACCCTCCGGTAATTTACCCTCCAGTAAATTAACATAGACCCTGCCAGATAGGGTTTGGAAGATTAGTTTCCACTAAAAATGGGTGATTTTCAGGGTCCAACTGTTAATTTACCAGAGGGTAACATAGCTGCGGAACATGGGCTATTTGCAGATGATTACCATTGATTACCTATTAAATACGGTGATTTTCCCTAGCGATCTAAGAGGGCACCACGTCGGGGACATCTGTCAGGGTGGATCAATGGCATCCCTGGCCTCACCTTCACCGGGGTCACCAGAGGTGCGGTTTGTGAAAGAGTGGGAAAAGAACGCATGCAATAGGTTCATCACCCATATGCTCCATGTATGGTATATTTACCTACATTTGGGTGATTTTTAGGGAACATGTTGGTAAATATTCCATACATTGAGCATATGGGTCATGGTTTATCATCATGCATGTTTTTTCCCATGAAAATTGGGTCGGATATTTATCGACGTGTTTGTTTTGAACAAATTTTGCTATGGTTGAAGGGGACATCTACAGGATTAGATTATATCGTCAATGGATTGACTGAAAGATACCTCTACAGGAAACCAAATTTGATAACGTGAAATACAATGGGTTCCTGTAAGTGTTCCCTTCCGCAGATTCTGGGAAATAGATATTTCATCATAGTTCATCAAACATTTCTGGAAGTTAGCATCAAAATGATGATGTTACGAAAATTACCGCGACGAAAATGACGACCTCAACACAGATCAGGGTTGGCTACAGGGGGCCATCATTCCGAGGATTCCTTTCATCAGAGGGTTCCCGGTTCCCCGTCACCTCCTTGCAGGCGCTAAGTATATGGTGCACCAGTGAATCTATCTGTTGATGACCCCATGAGTTGGGAGCGGCACGGGTGTATGGGATTCTAAGCTAAGTTGGGCTATAACCCATCTAATTACCATCTATAACCCCTATACCCATGGTTATATATAATGTGATATTTCCACTTAGTTCACTGGAACTCCGTTGCCAAGTACGGTTTCGATCAACGATTTTTTCAGCGAAGGCCTCTCCAATGGATGCATCTCCGGCTGAGGCCTTGGCGGATGCGGCCATTGAACTATTGAACATGTGGATTTAAATGGATTTAACTTATGTAGCTATAAACAATTTGGATAACATGGGATATTCATAACTTATACAACTATAAACAATTGGGATAACATGGGATTTTCATAACTTATATAACTATAAACAATTGGGATAACATTGGATATTCATAACTTATATAACTATAAACAATTGGGATAACATGGGATATTCATAACTTATATAACTATAAACAATTGGGATAACATGGGATATTCATAACTTATATAACTATAAACAATTGGGATAACATGGGATATTCATAACTTATATAACTATAAACAATTGGGATAACATGGGATATTCATAACTTATATAACTATAAACAATTGGGATAACATGGGATATTCATAACTTATATAACTATAAACAATTGGGATAACATGGGATATTCATAACTTATATAACTATAAACAATTGGGATAACATGGGATATTCATAACTTATATAACTATAAACAATTGGGATAACATGGGATAGGCATAACTTATATAACTATAAACAATTGGGATAACATGGGATATTCATGGGATAGCCTCTGGTTATTTAAGAGCTTGCTTCGGAAAACCCATTTAGTTTGATGATTTATGATGATTTACCCATTAATTAGACATATCATGATGACTCTCCATACCTACCTGAAATTACCAGAGAGGCTCATTTTAGAAGGCGAATCATCTCATAAGGATTAGCCATGGCCAGAGGTTCCGTATGTTGGCCCCCATGAAGCCCCCATTAATGTTAACCCCCTTCAAAAGTAGTGAATTAGAACTGCCACAACAACCCCCATTCATTTATGTAAATTGGGAACCTTGCGATCCATTCGATTCCCATGCTGATGAGGAAGTATGAGAAACCAATCGTTGTATTGTAAAGATACGTACTGTAGATGTATATCTCACTTAGTTTTCACAACCATGATTACTCATATGGTATTCATATGGTATATAAACCCATGACTAATCCACCACTGTTTTTGCAAGAAATAGGTTGAAATTGGAACCATCCAGAAACAAATGGACATTTTACAATACGAGTGGCATTACCATGCTAACGCTTTGCCACATTTCATAGAATTATTGTGCATATGAATCCAGTTATACTTGAGATATCCCCAGTTCTACATTCACTCCAGTAATCAAATTTGGCTATGGAACATCTCCATCTCCACATAATTTTCCCAGATTTTCCCAGTAAATCCTCCGTTCACAGGTTTTTTTTTCCATATGTTCCCAACATTTCCCATGATTTTCCAATGATTTTCCCATTGAAATGGCCGTTTTGATCGAGGAGAAATCCCAGCCATGAGCCCATCCTGGCAGGCGTCTCCCTCCTCGCCCATTGAGCCACCAGCTCCTCCTCCCGTGACCGTGCAACCGGCAGAATTTCGCAATATCTATGTGGGTATGGATCAATACCTATTAATACCATTTTTAATGGGATGAACATCCATTTACCAGCTATTTTGATGTGAACTACAGGGGTACAAGGTTTTGACACACTGCAATTTGTGTATTTTATGTGTTTAGGATTCGGATGTTTTTTTCTTTTTTTTTTCTCTCTCTCTCTCTCTCTCGCTTTTCGTTCAAACTCTTGAATTTTGAGTACATCATCAATGATGAGTATTCCATGAGTCAGTTAAAAGATGGTACAAATCTATACACATCTATTGTGATCATCACATTCATTTATATGCCAACGGCAGTACCAAGCATGTTTCTCAAGCTGAACAAACTCGATATTTTTCAATTTTTGCAGCTGTGTTGGCTTGGCTTTTTGCTTCCATCAGAAAAGATCAAAGCACCACTCAAGCGGTCAACCCTGTGTCGGGTGATCTCGAAGCATCCCATTTGATCTGAAAATCACCTGAGGGGAATTGGACCGGGGACTGGGGGCAACGATCCTCAGAACTGTGAAAACGGTGTGAATTGCTAGGATTTCTGGAATCAATCCATTTCAATAGCAATCATACATAGATATCCTATCCATTTCGTGATGATTTCAGCCACATCCTACGGTGATCCATTTCTGGGTGTCCTTAAGTATGATCCATCCCATCTAGCGTCCACAAAAGCATCATGTTTTTGCTGCCATGGGATGTTTGTCAGCCAGCCGGAGGTTCTGTGTTCTCCGGGGCTAGGAAAATTTACTGTGTTTTTTTTTTGAGGGGTGAGGTATTTGGATGTAATTAGTGGTTTTCAAGTATATGCAAGTGATAAGATTGCATCATTTTTATTGAATCACTTTCCCGGTGTATTTTCTACGTACCCAATTTGCTGCTGTGTGTTAGTGGAATGCAGGGCCTGGTAAACTACCAACCAGACCAGAATCGTGGTCAGTTCACGTTCACCAAACGGATCATTCCATTTTCAATTTGCATGTGTGGTTTGATGTCCATTTCTGTACATATACATATATAATATACATTTATCATCGATTTATATTACAGTATACGTATGTGATCATATGTGTAATTATATGTACACTTAATTGCATATATGCATTTAGATGAAAAGAGAGAATGCAATAGATAGCTCGTATGTCATACGTTCACCTTTTCGTATGTCCCAAGCATTGCTGCGGCAGGTCGGCCGCACGGCCTTCCCGGACTGTGGCTCAGCTCAGATGAGAAAAAAGAAACATCCGATGAAACTGTGGACTGGGGAGCATCCCAAATATACGATGCCGTATAATTATGCATGTATATGCGCATTTGTGTTGAATCAATTTGTGGTGGTTTGGTCCTTTGTGGGGATGAGGCAACATGAAAACCAGTAAGTTTTAATGGTGTGTCCCATGAGGCATCCATTTGACTATGTTGAAGCCACATAAGTCACCCAGGAAGAAGTGTGATAGTCACATAAATACAAGTCATCCATGTTTGGATATCCCCGGAGATTATCAATGTTTATCATTGATGATATCCTTACAATATACCAACCAGAGATTCTTTGGATATCATCCCCGGAGTGCATCTTCATTACCTGTGAGCGAAGAGGGATGGTGATTCCCGCGGGATTTTTGGTCAGGCCCCTTTAAATCGTAGTAATTCAATGTAATTCATAAACTAGTGGTGCTTATTTCTGATATGGGGGTTGTTCTAAAACCCATGTATTTCTGTTTATTACACGAGTGACATCTGCTAAAAGGCCGGAATTTGGAGGATCCATCATTTTGAACAATCATCATATATATATATATACACATAATACATATACTTAGTTCATTGATTTCTCTCGGAAAATCTCTTGTTTTCGGTTGATCTGGAGACCTGAGACACCTGGTCTCCAGGCACGTTGCTTCTCCAAAGCAGCACGGGTGGTGAGGCTGCAGGAGCTGCATCCCATCTTGGCGGTTTCATGTTGAGTCCCCTAGGTGGGGTTATCCAAGATATAACTGGGTTATACAATGTTATACATATATCATATATTGTATATATATATATACATATATATATATACAAATATATATATATATACATATATTGAACGGGAACATGCACAGGAGACTTGTGGGTTTCCTGCAAAATCGTCCTAGGATTCAGCATAGTCCCGTCTTTTAGTGGTAAGCGAATGCGAAATGCAGACCATTTAAGGGGAATCTCCACCAAAAGATGTGGATTTACAATAGACAAATGGTAAGGATGCAACCAACCTCTCCAAAGGCGACCCCCGAACAAAAGATGGTTAGGACATGTTCGGACCTGTTAAGACCTTATTAGTTCTTCGTGGTTGATGACTACTAATTACACATAAACTCAAATATCCTTGTATCGGGGTCACCCTTGTTCTTCTATTATTAAGTCGCATACATATTGCATACATATCCTGCTAACACATGCCCAGAAAATGGCTGGTTTACCCCCATTCTTGCGGAATCCCGAGGCTTGCATCATGCATATCCCTGATTCTTACCCTCTGGTAAACGTTTACATAGCGAACTGGAAATTCACCATTTTTAATGGGAAAATCCACTATAAATGGTCATTTTCAATAGCTATGTTAAATTACCAGAGGGTAATCCCTAGTTGTTTTTTTTTCCGGTACCCCTATGATGGTTAATCACCCATTGAATTCATTCAATTATTCATCAGAACAAACCACTAACAGATAAGCTTGTGATTGCTGCTGCTTCACCTTTTCCCCATTCAATCCCCTATTTTCAACGGAATATTCTCACAGTTTGTCACAGTTATAATATGTTATAATCCCTATTGATCTGGATAATTCATAATGGTGATAATAATCCAGTAACCCAGGATAAGGAAGATTACTACTATTGAACATATTGAACTATCCATGATGGAATAAGTACTATTTATCATGATGGATAGTTCAATAATAGTAATCGTTTTTTTTTCATCTTCCATCATGAACTATTACTATTATTGGAACTATCCATGATAATCATGATGAAAGAATCCCCATTTTGTCACCAGGAGTCAGCTCCTGAGTTGCTGCTGCACGACCCAGTGCCAGATCTTTCCACCTGGCAAGGTCTGAGAGATGCGACCAACACGGCGCTGCACCGGGGTCACTGCCATGAAATGATACAGTAGAAATGGGGAAATGATGGGAAATATTGTGGATGTTAGATGAATTCTGAATTGAGTGTGTTTTGTCTTGTTTTTTTTCCTGAAAACAGATATTCCTAATATAATATCGTATGATGTGTTTATGTGTTGCATCATGAGACATGTTGAATTCATTTTGTTTTCTGGAAACATATGTTCCTAATATAGCATATATCGTATGATGTATTTATGATTTGCATCATTTAACATGCGGATTTTATATGATGTTCAGGAAGATCTTTGAATTTATCAGGAAGGATGCTGACTGTGGACCCCACCCCCATCCCAAGCACCCAACCGCGGTCTTTTGTTCACCAGAAACTCGAGATGTTCGCCAGGAAATACATTGAGATTTAGTTCTTGTATTAATGGAATATTTAATGATATCAGGAAATGCATGGCCAGGAAGCATGAGGATCTAATCAGTATTATGGTTTTTCATCAGGAACTGCGGACATTATTTGGGAACAAATTAGATCGCATCTCTTGGTTCCCGCACAGGCACGAAGAAACCCCCCAAAAGATAGGACAGTGATTGATAATCATATTATATAATGTTATATAATTGGATCTTGGATCGTTTCTGCATATTCTTGGGTCTTACCACCTTACCACTATAGTTATGACTAGGTCCATCATCCGGTACTGCTAGGTCCATCATCCATTTGAGCTGTGGTCAATACTCATGGTTAATAACCATTAATAGGGGCTAGTCATCCAATGGTTCATAGGGATTTTTAATAACCATTATAAGGATCCTTATTATGGATGGGATGACCATCAACCATATAGTGAGTATTGACCATGGCTCATTTGGTGTCTCCCCCTCCGAGGTAAGTTGGACCGTTACCTCTGGTGGAGCTACGCCTCAACGGCGCGCCAGCGCCTGCGGAGCTTCGGCCGGGCGCCGGAGGGCGCGGCCGCTTCGGCCGCGAGAGATGCCACGGAGGTGGTCATGGCCTGCGCCAAGGTGGAGATGCGATGGACACCTGGAAAATCTAGGGGAGAAACTGGAGAAACATCAGAAAAATGGAATTCTAGAACTTCCTGGTGAATCCTGGTGGCACACTTTTCGGCATCTCTTTTGAAGGTTGCCACTGTGGGATTCTTGCGATTTGAATGGATCTGAGAATTATTTATATATGTTCACTTGACTTACTGTATGGAACACATGGCAAGTTTTATGGGTTCTGGCTGGACTTTCAATGGGATGAATGACTCCGAAGGAGTGAGAGGAATAATTCTCAAATATCCTCAATTTCCAGTCTACTATTTCCATTTTAAGAATTATGATGAATGATAACTGCAATGCAGTTTTGAACGGAACATCTCTGGGAATAACGGTCCAGACGGGTCCAGACAGCCAAATCATGCCATTTTCCTCGATGTTTTCGACAGAGATGAGTGCCATTGCCGCACTCCGTGCCATTTGTTTGTAGGGATTGAAAGTGATATGTTTGGTCCGAAAAATTATTCAACATGTTTGTCTCAGCCTAGAATTCTGACCTTCCTGGCCAGAAATTCTGCAGACTTTCACCACGATTCACCCGCACCGCCCTGTGAAGGCTCGAGTGGAATCGCACACTGGCATCTACAGTGCTTGGATGAGGTGCAACTGAGCGACCTGAACCCGGGGAACCCCAGCCCCATGAAGGATGATCGATCTTGGCAGCAAACATCATGGCATTGGATCAATCAAATACCCATGAGTGATCAAAGATTCTCCATCAAATCCCAATTCAATTCCACTAAATCCCTATAGTTGCTATAGTTGATGGTTAAAATCTCCAGTGGTATCTCTAGATATACAGTAGTTGATGGTTAAAATCTCCAAGGTGTCGATGGATAGATCTCCCATTTTCGCTCCCCCTACCGGGGCACCGGGCGCACCTCCCAGGGCGGTGCTACGCCACGGTCGCACCAGCGCTTGGTCCTCCCAGCTGGGCTTCGTCTGCAGCAGCGCTGCGACGTTGAGCCGCGCGCAGCTTTGGTCACAGGAGGCGCAAGAGGAGTGGCTCAGCAGATTCAGCAGCTATTTTTAGGGAATAGATGGGAATAGTATCTACCACTATGAATGATTCAGCAGATTCAGCAGATACCCTTTGGCGAATCATTTAGGATCGGGATTTAAGCATTATCTAAAGGGATTTTTGGTGGAATTGGGAAAATCATTGGGATTGAGGTTCCTTTCAATTGACGACCCTGAAAATAACCTGTTTGTAATGAAAACTATAGTAACTATAGTCTTCCAACCCCGATCTGCCACGGTCTATGTTAATTTACTGGAGGGTACCTTCTGGTAATTTAACAGTTTGCTCAGTGGCATAAGACACCCATCATGTTGTGTTTATTAATTTCGTTGAATACTGTATGTAGATTGATGTATTATAGTATGTGTTAAAGCGTGCTTTCATGATTATATACATTTATATACAGTATTTTCTAAATGCGTTTGTCAATGTATGTAATCCTCTTTGAGCCTGCGTTGATCCACAATCTTTCTTTAGGAATCAGGACTTTGAAATTGGCGACCAGTCAAAGGCCAACAACAAGCGTTCCTTGATCAGATGTTTAAAACACATCAAACGGTCTGGTAGAACATGTACGGTATAGGTTTGAACTATTTGAACCATTATAGCCTAGCATTATTGTATAGCAACAATTTTTATTTCCAACATCAAAAGCATGTTGATTTTTCACGACCCTTGAAGGCGGGCTACACTGCTACACCATATTTCAATACATTTTTGTTCATCTATCAAACAAATTCGAAAAACACTGGTAATAACTACCATATTCGATCACCATCTACCAAATGAAGAAACAAGCAGCCAGCAAATCGATGGTTTAAAAAAACATGTTTGTTTTTTTGTCCCATCATATGATAGGCATGTATGGCATTAAATACATTGTGACATCATAAAAAAAAACATATGTTCTGGATAAAAATACATGTTTGTTTGAACTGTTATCCAGAAAATATGTATATATGGCGCTTCTCCAGCTGCGACATGTCGACCCAGGTTTTGGCTGACGGCCTTCCCCCATCTGATCACCGAGCGTTGGATCGACCACGGCGCCGTGGTGTCCGCGGCCGCGGCCTTCGCGCTGGCCGCACCGCTTGGCAATGCGTGGGGAACGGTGAAGGAGGAGGCGGGGGGTGAAACATGGGAGATGTTGGGGGAGTTGAGCAGCAAGAAATCTGAAGAAATGGGCGTTGATCACTTGATCACCCACAGTTGAGAATATGAGAGAATGTTGCCAGGATGTAAGATGATTTAAGGACGAACACTTGTAGATTCATGATGATTTTGGCACCAACGTTTGGGATCGTTTGGGTGTTTACCACGAAAGTCAGGCATTTGACCAGACAAAGTTAGCAACCGCAGAAGATGGAACTTGACCAGATGAAGATTCTCAATCAAAGATGGCACTAACAATTGACAAGAAAGACAAGAGAAAAATAACAACATGGGTACCTTACAAACACCAGCGAGAAATTTGCATATCACTAGACAGAACGGGAATACAACCAACTTTTAAAGGGAGATGGTCAACGAGCACGTGGCTATGAGGCTATGAGGCTATGAGTCTGGCCCCAAAAAGTGGGATACCAAAGCCACGACAAGTCGCCGTTGACCCTACCTGGGATGAGGTCTTTGAGATCTTGGAAAGTCAACTGCTGGAGCAACCTGTGCCTTGGAACCAGGGTGGGAACGTGAAAATCGATGAAACATTTGTGTTCAGTGCGTTCATGTTGTTGTCTTGTTCTTGTTACAATGTTGATGGGGTATATTATGGGTATATTATACATTTCATATATGGTTCATGTTATATATGTATATTATATTTAATGATTTAATGAAATGTATACTGTATACATGAGGATGGTTGATGCCCAGAGTTGGTCGAAGATTCGCGGTGCCACTTGGATGTTTCCATGGTGTGGTCGTATGTTCGTCTATTCCAAGGATGGGCTGCACCAGCTGCTGCCAGAACTATGAAATTATGTGCAAATCCTACAATCAATGGGAATTTCAGGATCCTAAATTGGAGGTACCTACCATATATAAGGCCTATTTTTCAGGCCTAAATTTCAGCGAATATCCCCACAAAATATGGCCAAAAACATGGTACTAACGTACCTCCAATTTAGGATCCTGAAATGGCCATTGATACAAGGGAGTAGCAAAGATGATGATAGTGAGAAACCAACCACGCCAAGCTTGGAGGTCCACAGGTGCCACAGGTCACCAACAAGTCAGGATACTTTGGGGATGTTATGATGGGGTTGTCATTTGTGCGGGAAAACCATATTGATTGATGGTTTTCTAATGTTTAAATCTGTGCTGCTCGCAATCTATAGCTAGGTCTGTATAATAGATAGGTCTGTTTGTAGATTGATAGGTAGGTAGGTAGGTAGTTAGGTAGGTAGGCAGGCAGGCAGGTAGGTAGGTAGGTAGACAACAGTAATTAATTAAATGTAATTAACAGATAGGTAACAAGTAGATATCAGATAAATATAGATAAATGATCGATAGGCAATAGGTAGATTCTGCAATAGGTAGAAGTGTAATAGGTAGACAACTGAGAGATAACGGATAAATAGATACAGTAATAGGTAGGCATACTGGTACGCAACAGGTAGATACATACATAATGTGTATATTATATAGCTTGAAATCTAGATTGATAGAGGCAGAGACAGACAGAGAGAGAGAGAGATATATATACACATCATTTAGTATCAATCCCGGTTCAATTAACCGCTGGGCTATTGAACCCCCACCAAGGCATTGCTATCAGCCCATGACACGGCTCTTTTCCTCTGGGCTGTGCGCCGTGTGGGGCGCGGCAGCGCAGAGCTCTGCCGCAAAATGTGGCAGAACTTGGAGGCCGCCTCCGTAGTCTTCAGATCTCGCGACGGATCTTCGGGTGTTGAAAAGATGTTAGTAAAGCAATGCCTTAGATACCACATATTTTGATGGTTTATAGATGTTTATAGATGTTTATAGATGTTTATAGATGTTTATAGATGCTTAATGATGGTTTATAGATGTTTAATGATGGTTTATAGGATGTTTGTAGCACAACATGTATGGTAAATTTGAGGCTGGTTTACTATTGCTGTTACTCTTACTATCATCATCCCAAAACAAGGCGTGTGGTTTAATTCATCAGCACTTTCTCGTTGAAAAATACCGTAACATGTGTGTATTACTATATTATATTGTATGCTCCATTTTCAGACAGACCCAGTTCATGATTGTTGGCTAAATATCCCACTCTATCACCATCACATCTCATTAAATCCCCTATATTGGCTTTATATATATATACATATCCCATTATATCACCATCACTTCCCATTAAATCCTCTATGTATGTTTGGTTTTCCCCCATGCCAGTTGGGGTCGGCCACGTTTCGGATCCAACCGCGACGCCGTGAGGGTCGTCTCAGCGAGCTCTCACCGCGGCTCTTGTGTTCCCTGGCGCATCATGTCAACGACGGCAGCGGCGCGGTGCAGCTCCTGCGGTCGCTCAGCCGGCGTAGCTCGACTGGGACTGGATGGATTTTGAAAATGATGGAGATGATTTATGGCAGTGGCAAAAGTTGGCGTAGTATGATATTTGAATCATTGGCAATATGCACGGGTAGATATATACATATTGTACTTACTGCAATATATATAATTATATATATATGATATGTAGTTGATTGAATATGTGTAGACTAATATTCTAGGCGGTTGGCTGATGGTTTCTAATTTTTGTGTTTGATTATCCATCCCTTTCTTGGAAGATGGAGTGCCTGAGTTAAATTGGCGTTAAAGTCTCCCTGGGTTGAGCTGATATGTGGCCAAATTCTGTGAATTCAAGGATGAAAACTATGAAAAGTGTATCGAATATAGTACCCAGGTAGTTGTCAGTTATTTTTGGGTGAAGACTTTGATTTTTATTGGTTTTGTTCCAAAGTTCCCGCTGAGAACTGGACAAAAATCACATAAAATCTGGCAACCATGCTGACATCAATGGCATCAATGATTAATTGGTTTAAGGCAAGTTGAAACCCTTAACCCCCCCCATATCTCATGGAAAAACAATAGTTTTCCTCCAGATCTTCTCTCAAAGCAATCCATTGCTGACCGTTTTGGGGACTTTGCTACCTGATTGACAAGTACTGAAACTGGTTGCTCATGTCCCAGAGATATCAGATATCCTCGTCGGGTATCCTTTTCTTAAGATTTTTAGGACAGGAATGATAGGATATTCCTATGTACTTCTTCAACAAAAGAATGATTCATTTCTTGCGACATTCATCGCTGATCATGTTTGAGCGCTACTCGGCAAACTTGCTGAGTCTCAACTCACTTTGTTGTTCAAATTTGTAAACAAAGTCTCGCTTGTTGCTGTTTACATATCCCGGAATGTTTGTAGAATCCAATGATTCTCCCAGCGCAAACTGCTTGGAGCGTTGCATTCAACGGCATAAAAAAGAGATTAACAACCCCAAAATCATTGGGAAAATGATGCCATACGCATGCATATATAGTCCGCTATGTATATATATATACATAGCACCATAGTATTATTATTATCATTATTACTAATTATTATTATTATTATGGTGATACCAACTTTATATCCAAGATAGCTCCCATGTATCAAGACTGGCTGATTTACAACGACCTCACAATGATGTCACCACAGATTATGATTGGCAAAGGGAATCCCTTTATAGACATGTTTGATTACTGGAGGGTATCCATAAGTGCCATGGGTCACAACATGGGCTGCTTTCCCATATAGGGGGGGTGGTAATCTATCCATTCGTCAAAGTTTGTATACTCAGAATAAGGATTCCCATTATGGGAACGTTGTGACCGTGGCACCATATCATCAAACTACCATCCTGGGAACATCTATTTGGGGATTGTTATCATTATATAGATCCATGGAAGTTATTATCATGGAATAGGTCTATCATGTAATATCATGGATGCTGCATTTAATCATATTTCATCGTACAATAAGAATTGATAATTCATGTCATATCTATACTGTATAATGTTGAAAACCCAATGTCATAAACCAACCAACTTTATGGGATGGTTGAAATCCCACCCATAAAAATGGTGAATTTGGGGATGGTTCATTATCGAGGTTGCCACATTGACTCTTGTTTGTGATGGGTATTAATCACTGACTAAGATTAAGTTTGGGTGTTGGCCATAAACAGTAAGAAGAATCATCACTACATTATTGGGTTTGACTAAACTTTATACCCCATTATTTTGATCTACGGTTTGATGGGTTATGAACCAACGGATCACTGGATAATACTGGATCACTGGATCACTAAGGGGTCCCACATGAGTAGCTCATGCTTGGTTTACCACATTGTTATATTTGTAAAACTATCAGCAATAAAAAACACTTGTCGTAAGAGATCATATTACATATATAATACATATATTGCATTTTGTCTACTGGAAACCAAGCACCAAATCATATGGTCCAATCATTTCATCACAAAGAGACCGTCTCGCCTCGCAGGCAAAGGATCCGAATCGCTGCTCTGTGAAGCTGCTGGAAGCTTCGCCACGCGTGGCGGCTGGGCAGCAGCCTGGGACAGCGGGGATGGTCAAAATTTAAGCCCTGTGGGACCACAGATATTTGAATATATATATATATATGTTTAGACTATGTTCAGTATTATCATGTATTAAGCATCTATATAACTATTATCCGATTTGCAGCTATACCCAATGTCATACTGTGGATGGATGGGAAATCCTGCACCAGTTGGGAACTATTGGGATTCCTGTGAAACACTGTAAATGATGGGATTGTAACCGGATAAAGTACCCATAACTATGATAACATATGACGTATGATAATTTTATAGTAATAATGATAGCATATAAGAACACATGATAGTTAAAATGTATAAGGTGTTGGTAAAAATGATTGCATATCATTACTATAGGCTATATCAATGTGACCAGTAGGTCTGCTTGGGATGATCACTTACTTAACTCACCTTTTCTGCTTGGGGCTTGAAACCACCACTGGGGAGCTCTCAATATGCTTTGGGCGGACCATTTCAATGGCTTCCATCCCCAGAAATAGGATGGAAATTTCCTGCTTTTTCAGTATTTGTTTGACTGCATCATACTCTTTGGTCATTTCACATAGCTACGGAAAATCGCAAACAGGTAGTTTCATGATTTTCTGATAAACATGGCAATTGACCATTATCATTGCAACGTGTTAAATTATCAGAGAGCTTATACACCATGTTCTTTGGTTAAGTTCCAGTGTACCCTATAAACATCACATTGAATCCCATTAAATTCCCATAAAATCTTAAATCCGATAAGATCCCATTGAAGTCGACCAGATAGAATTATTAAAATCATGGAAAATCCCATGAAATCCCTTTGAATCCTCCAAGTTTACCATAATCTCACAGGCACAACATGGCCCATGGCCCCCGTACTCTCACAGGCTTGATCTCCGCCGCAGATCTGTGGCCCGTGGTGGAAGTGGTCGGCCCCAAAGTGCCGCAGATCCTGGCCACGGCGCGCGCAGACGCTGGGCAAGTTTGCGAAAGCGAAGTTCACGGCTGAAAGACTGATAGCTAAATTGAAGTATACCTATTATTATGTGTATATATATATATATATGTATATGATGATATATGCACATATCATTTATAACATAGGCATATCCAGTGTATATATTTATGTATATGTCTTTGTATATGTGTATGTATATGTGTATGTATATGTATGTATATATATATATATATGCCTTTGATACACATCGCATAATATGTCATAATACGGGCATAGGTCGTCGTTTGCGGGCCTCCGGATGCTTCAGCACCGCAAAACACATATAGTGGTATGATGTGGTATGGGTCATAATTGGGCACCCAAATCATTAGATGGTTCATACTACCAAACATATATGTGGTCCCATAGGGCTTTATGACCCATAGCCATACCCAAGTGACATGTGCCCAGATATCACTCGGTCGCCGCCGAGTCCATTGGCTTCAGGATTTGCTAAAAGCTGCACTTTTACTGGAGATCACAGACGAAGCTTTGCTCTTGGCACCTTGGTCTGGGAAGATCACCGACTTATACAGGGATGGGTTGTTATACCCTCCAGGAATGAAACATGGCAACGGGAAACCCCCTATGAATGGAGGTTTGAGTGGGAAAATGATCTATGATCGTGGATTTTCCAGCAAGCCACGTTTGAGTACCGGAGGGTATATCCCATTAAATATCCCATTAAATATCCATTATCATTGATTCACCATTAAATATGTTTTTAATACTACAATCTGGAATTATAAACCCATCGGTTGAAAATCGCCCACCAAAGCCACCCATTGTCCTTGTCATGGCATGAACTGAGCTTCAGGGGGAAAGAGAGGCCCTCAATTTTGTTGCTAGCAAAGCAAGTTTGGGACTGATCATCAATAAATATCAATAGTTTATATATATTATATATATATATTATTATATATTATACATATATATATATTATTATATATTATATATATATATATTATACACACATATACATATATATATACATAATTATAGATATAATTATGCATATATACATGCTGTACATCCAGATTGCCTGAAGGTAGACCATTATATATCACCAGAGATCCCACGAATCATCACCATCATCCACGAATCTGCCACCTTCAACCGAAGAAAATCCGTTGAAGATCTTGAACAAGCCACCAGTCCATAGTCTATCTATGTAAGGGGATCATTCCCCAGCTGGAACCTCAAACAAGGTCAAACAACCAGACAGACATGCTGCTTTGCCATGCTTTGCCCGCAAGCAGTTGTTATGTATAGATTCTTCACTACCATGGGGAAACAACCGCTGAAGAATGCCCGGACGAACAAAGGCTTTGCAGCAACCCAATGGACCCGAAGAAGAAACCCAGGAGGCACAGCGGAAGATATGAGGAGGATGAGAGATGGCTTAAATGGATACAACTGGGGCTTTAACTTCCAATGCATATATATAATTATATGTATATATATATATGTATGTATATATGATATATGTAATTATATAATGATATATTTAGATATGTACACATGTATAATATATATATAGCATATACTGTAGGTGGAGGGATGTTCCAGCCTGCGGGGTATCCATCCGAATCCCCAATGGTTTTGTTTGGTATGGGGGTACCCCAATAGCTGGATGGTTTTTTTTACCCTCTGGTAAATTAACATAGACCCTGGCAGATAGGGGTTGGAAGACTAGTTTCCATTAACAATTGGCTATTTTCAGGGTCTATGTTTATTTACCAGAGGGTAATGGTTCATTCATTTCAAAAAATCCTGTTGTTAAACAAAAGCTAACAAACAAATAGCGATGGGAAATCAAATATGATTTCTTTACCAGGTATGTAAATCAACTAAAATAGTGGGCAATTTTGAGTAGCAATGCTCAATTATGAGAGGATGTGCGGTTTTTGTCTGCTTCCATACTGGCCTTTCCATCCAAGAGCAGTTGCTTATTTTTTTGCTAATTGTCATGTACCCTCTGGAAAAAACAACACGTGGCTGACTGGAAAATCCTCGTGACAGTAGATGTTTTACCAACCAGGTGGTTTCCAGCCAACAGCGTTTGACTCTGATTATATTATATAATGAAGGGTATCCAATATGTCACTGCAGAATTCCATTGGAAGAGATGAGTCCTTGGGGACCTACACATGGGATGGTTTAGTCCCCATGGATCTGAATTCTTGACCCATACTACCCAAACTAGCACGTCTGTTTTTCCCTTCCCGCAGCTGTTGAGTTGCGCATCTTGTCCACCTAGCGTTCCTCGGGGCGACGCCCCATCTGCAACCGCATCATGGGCCAAGTGGCATGGTAGCAGCGAATCGTGTGGATGCCTTGGACCTTCAAGGAAATTGGTTGGATTCTGCGGGTCATTCCATCTTCGTGAGTCACTGGGCAGAAAACTCTCAGGACCTGGGTCTGCGGCGCTGCTGGTGGATTGTGTGGCGGCCTTTGAAGCAAATCCAACGGGGGGTGTGGGTCATTGGTTTCATGTTTTTCCGTTTGAACAATGGCGCTAAGGTGTTCTTCACGTTCAAAGTATCGATAGTTTCCGTTCCAGAATTGGTTGAAGGGAACACGTACGGGAGATCGGGAAAGCCATGGTTTCCTGTAGATGTTATCTCAAATAGATCCGTGCTTTGTCGCACCATTCAAGGTGTTGATGAGGCACTTGATGGCACTTGGAAGGTGAACTTCCTGTTTATAGTTTAAACGTTTGAGGGGTTAATTGCTACTTCGAGTAGTCTTTAGTTTCCAAGCTCAAGTAGTCTTTAAATCAATATATATATATAAATCAAATAATTGAGTGGATCATTTCCTAGTTTGAGTATATTTGAGTGGGTCATATAATTACATATGTCCTTTTATTTCCAAGTTTGAGCGGTCGTCTTCCCGGCACATCTCTTTATGCTTCATGTATGGAATATTAATCAACATTTTGCTCGCACCTCAATAAGATGCATTATTTCTAGATTCTAGATATGGGTCTGTCTGAAAATAAGGCATACCCCGAAATATCGCCATTCAATGGGGATCATGAGGACTAACCAATGGATTTGGGGCTACCGATTTGGGGGTACCCCCATGACTTAGGAAACCTCCAAATAGAAAAAACATGAAAAGTAGTTAATGTTACTTCCAAAATTATGAAACCTCCATATATGTCAGCAACCATGGAGCATCTAGGTGAGAGCCTGGAAGATCAAACTTTGATCGCCGTGCTGACTCCGCTGGTGAAGCATCCCGATGTCAAAGGTCGCATCCTTCGCATCGAACCGCGCCTTGGCCACGATTCCAAAAAACATGGAAAAGATAGAAGACCAGGAACCATAAAGATTATAGAAAAGTAAACAAGTATGATATAGTCTAATTATAGTTATTATATAGCAAAAGAATGCAAAAGAAAGAAAAAGTAACTTTTTGGGGGTTATCACAATGTTTTCTTTACTATCTCTAATAAACCATTCTATCATATCATTTGTTAGCTTACTAAAGATCACTATTTTAGTAGGCTTTTACTGTTCTATCTTCTTGGGGGGTTAGTATGTTTTTGGGGCTTTGTCTGCAGAGTATATTTTGGATGGGGATTTAGTGCGGATATATCACAAACTACCATTGGGGGAAAGCCATGGAAAAACCCATTCCATCTGCATCTCATGGTTTATCATCATCTTCCCTTATACGATATGGTCATTTTGGGGGAGTGTGGCCCATTTTCAGGCATACACACCCATATAATGTTTATATAGTGGAGATTTAGAACGATAGTCTGGGATGCAAAGAAGCCAATCTTTTCATGTCAACACTTAACCCAGGATTTCTCCAAACCAACATGGTTTCCTTCTGCACACTAAAATAGCTGATAAAATCATATAGATGGTTGTTCATCCCCCTCCAAGTATTCTATTGTTGGTGTTGAATCCATACCCCATTTGGAATAGGTCAAAACTGGATGGGATAGATTGGTACACTGTAAAACCATGAAAAACTATCATGATATTGGAAGATATGGGATATTGTTGGGACACCGGGACTGTAACTGTAGATGTTGACTCAGAATTTTGCTTCTCCCTCAGTTTACTATGGGGAGTGCCAATTCATTGGGGGTTGACATGTTTGGTGGTCACACTTTGGGGGACTTGGGATGAAACATTGGATTTCATGGGATGAACCTCATGTTGATACCAGGTCTGGAATGAACTCTTTATCGAAACCCATGGGGATTTCTACTGTTGAGCCAATCATCGGTGTAGTTTTTCGGCAAGGCTCCAATCATCAGCCCTGGATTGTTTTTTTGCGAAAAGGTCGTGGGCAAAACCATCAATTTCATGGCCGTAGGCCAGGGATTGGATTGTTTGCTTGAACATAGCCTTCAAACAAGCATGGTTCAGCATGGTTTTCCGCAATTTCAGATTTTGCCATTAACTGGTTGCTGCTTTTTGCCATATTCATAACTATATAATTTGACTGGTTGGATAATTTTAACCAATGACTATTTATAAATGCTTGTCCGCAAATCTCAGATTTTGCCATTAAATGGTTGCCATTAATCTCAGATTTGTTCTCAAATGGTTCGACCGAAAGAGGATGATGACTCCATAATGACTCCCTGGGATGCCACGCTGGGATGAGGCCGGAAGAGGATTCCTGGCACTGGCGCATTGGAAAGGCCCGCCTGGAATATGTGGATACCCAACGCCAGAGACTGGTTTGGGTCACCAGAGATGGCTTGAAACGCAACTTGGTGGTTTCAAATGGTGGTTAATGGTGGTTAATGGTGGTTAATGGAGATTATAATGGGTTAATAATGGTGGTTAGTATATGGTTAATATATGGCAGTGTGTCAAAACCAATTGTACCCCTGTAGTTCACATCAAAATAGCTGGGATTCATGGATGTGAATAACCCCCTAAAAATGGTATTAATAGGTATTGATCCATAGCCATATGATGTCCTTTCGAATGACGATTTAAGTCAGTTGGGATCTAATGGGTTCCATGCCATGGCCTCTTGGACTCAGATTGTCCACTTGATCAGCTCGAATGGGTTTGTCTGAAATAAGGTGCCCAAACTCCAGTGGTACTTTTTAGGGTATACTGAGTATACTGCGACATACAGCCTTTTCAGGCAGACCCAAATGATGTTTTTTTTTTTTTTAAGAGACATCGTCCTGGTATATTCCCATCAAATCCCCCGATGATTCATCCCATCGATCTTCGTCATTCTTCGTCCATCCCAGTGGGATTGCAGTGCCCGTATAACCAGTTATATTTTTATGGTTATACATGGAGCAGTCATTCCATAAATGGGGTTATGTTTCACTGACACTTCTAACTGGTAAAAATGGGGTTATGTTTCACTGTGTCTTCTACGACGAGTCCAGGAAATGTTTGGATTCGAAGCTACCCCGGATATACTGATGGCGCAGCCCTGGATTCGCCGTTTATTGGCGAGGAGGGTGCAGACATTGAGGCGCCAGAAAACTGGTTCATTCCAGGAAACATGGTGGGTAGACACTCGTGATTAATGATGGTTCATATATTTTCATATGGTTTTAATGGGGAATACACTTTTTAATAATGGATATGAGATGATAATGGCAATACTATGGGATTCAACTACTAGTAGCAAATATGGGGATACAATGGGAATAGGATTAGCATTCTCTGGATTACTTATAACGACTGCGCCTTTCGGCGTCACTGGAAAGATCGTTTCATACAGGGAATCCTCCCCAAATGGCCGAAGTTTGACAGCGTCCGCAATTGAAGACATTTTTCGGTGTGTGGCCATATTTGGGGCCAGTGAATTGTTATTGGTATTTACCCTCTGGTAAACTAACGTAACTATGGAAAATCACCATTGTTCATGGGAAAACTCACTATTTCTATGGCCATGTTCAATAGCTATGTCAGCCATTACCAGAGGATAAATACCTAGCATTTTGGGATGATTTGAATCTTACCCATTTATGGTAAGTCATTTGGGATGGTTGACAACATTGATTGTATCCAGATGATGTTCCTATGGTGGGGATGATGAGCCCAACAAAAAGATGCTGGTAGCAGGGTGAATTCCTCAGCGTCGGCTGATGTGTTCCCCATGTCTTGATTATGGTGATTTCATGGAGATTTTATGGGAATATATATATATATATATATGTATCTATATCTTTATCTTTATCTTTATCTATATCTATATCTCCGTCTATCCATCTATCCATCCATCCATCCATCCATCCATCTATCTATCTGTATATATATATATATGTATGCCCACGGGAAATGCAGGCCTTTCCTTGGTTGCTGAACAACTCTTCGCTGGATCCCTGGCTCCCTTTGGACGTGCCGCGGGATATTCTCTACGATGGCGCACGGGTGGCTGCGCTGCTCGATATTCGGCAGATGATCGGGGCCAGGACGCGATGTACGGAAAGCTAAGCTAGGTTATGCTAAGTTGTGTAGAGTGTAGATATCATATCATATTGTATTATTCTATTATCGTCCTATTCTATTGTATTATTTTCTGTTTTATCATATTATATAATATCATGTTATATTATATAATCATATTATATTAGTTTATATTATATTATATTATATTATATCATGTTTTATTATATCACATTATATTATATCATATTATGTTTTATTGTATCATATTATATTATTTCATTTTATGATATATATTATCATATAATATTATATCATATTATGTTATATCATATTATGTTATATTATATCATATTATGTTATATTATATTTTACCACCGTTTTCAACTGGTGCAGGATTTCGCAACCATCCACCGTATCAGTCGCGCAGGAGTGAGCCACAGGAACGCTTGACGCATATCTTGATGGATCATGACCTGCACCCTGCGCGGCAAGGCACCTTTTAAAAGGGAGATTTGGGGATGGGAACACGCATATTTTTGATTTTGTGTGGTCCCAACAAAAATCGCAAAGGTTGAATTTAGCATGATTTCTCTACTTTGCTGCATCTTTTTGGGGATTGCCTTTCATATACAGAGTGAGTGATTTACTAATGTAGTAGACCTGATGCCATAAACCAACCGCGATTGGGATTTATTACGCTATGTGGGATGGTTTGGAACAGCCCCAAATGGTTGGTTGAGGGGATGCAGACATATCAGACATCAAGATCATACAGCATAGTTCAAAAAAAACAAAACCTATAGATATTTATAAAACATATTTATACACCATATATATATATGTAGATATGTGGGTGGCTGAACATCCATTTACAGTTATTATTGTGTTTAGAAGCCTACTTGCACCAGGGTTTCACACTACTCATACATAAGTTGATATTGATGTTGTAGCGAAAGTGTCCAGACAGGTTACAGTAGATTACTGGGACACAGTACCAGCTTGCAACAGCGTCGGTTTATTTTGCTTAGTATCGCCTTGTTCCACGAAAGAGCGGTGGAACAAAGGGCATTTTGTTGTGATCCCAAAGATTACTGACATGATAAGCGAATAAAAGTGCTGAATTAGGTGAATTATTACGACTGGAGATACTGCGAGACTGGTCCATGTATCTTAAACATTCTTAAACTTCCACAAAAGTCCAGCGAACTTCGCCTCATCTCCTTGGACCAGGTGGTGACTATTTGATTCCAAATATCCAATCCCCTCTTTGGCAGACGCTCAATGTTTCTGAGACCACGCGACAAAGTTCCTTGGAAGTCAGCACTGCTGGAGCGAGATGGATGCTACACTGCTACAACGCCCCGAAGAACACACTGGGTGAGTCTGCAAATTAGATATCGCATGATATCGCCATACAACCTTTTTAATTATGGGAAACATACCATGATTGACTGATTCGCCATCAAATTTGCGGTGTTTGACGTGTTGTGGCTCCAAAATGTATCAGAACCATGGAAATCCTATCAGAACATCCCATGGTTAAATCCTCGTGAAATCTCCCACTTCGTTTCGTGGCTCATATGGCTTAACCGAGCCGCCGGGCCTCTCCAAGGTCTACTGCAACGGATTTCGCAGATTCCCAGTGACGCGCTGACGCAGCGCATTTCGTGGAGCGGCGACAGCTCGGTCTGGGTGGGGCGGCACAAGATCTCGGTGCCTTGGCTGAGAAAAAACCACCGTTCTGCTATAGCGGCTATAGCGATCCAAGGGGGGTTCCATAACCCATGACGGATCCATGGTGCTGGTATATATGCTAACATGACTGGGGTATATTGATGGTAAATGATATCATATATAGCATACATATAGCAGCACCATGGATCCGTCATGGGAAATGGGGTACCCGTACCCAATAGATGGACCGTTTATTTTTATGTTGATAAGGGAAAATCCGAAAATCAAATGGATGATGACTGGGGGTTAGCCCTATTTCAGGACACCCCGGTAGCCTTTTCAAATCACCGTGATGTCATTATTAAGACACAGGGATTTAACCATTAACCTTGGGAGGAGCAATGTCAACCCTGGAATAATAAACACCTAGATTGTTTAGTTGGTGGTACAAATTAAGTATGATATGAGCACTATTTGGAGACCCCATAATTAATAAACCATTGATAACCATTGTTTATCAATCCGGGGTTGACATTGCTTACAATAAACAATAGGTATACCGTATACCATCTGACTATGTTTTTTTTTGTATAGGATTTATATAGGTATACCCTTACATTACCTTTACCAACATTTGACACAACTATTGTGCTATGGCTATGATGAAGCGTGCATCATGGTGAGCGGCCATTGTTTGTTTGTTTTTACCAGAACCAGTGTTATTTCCCAATTGATGGTGGTTTTAAGCATTACTCTACCCATCTACAAACAACTGATTCAAATGATATGCAGGACTCATATATAATGAACACCTTATAAGCCATGTTCTTCAAAGATCTTCAAACAAGGTTTGAAGATTCTTGAATCCAGAGCACTTGCTCGGACTGAGATTCATAATGATTAAATCACCAGCCGGGTTGGTGGATTCATATGCTGTGGGTTTTTTTCACCATCCACCGATGATCATACTACTCCAGCAGTGGTTATAGTTGGGGATTATCCTGGGACGGTTGATGTGTAGCTGGGTACCAAGCTGTTACAGAAAGGGAGGACCACAAAATCTCCTTGGAACAATAGTTCATGGTCTCGGTTAATGGCCGCTTCATGTTCGTGTTGATATTTTGAGTCCTATTCTTACAATTTCTTATATAGCCGTTGAATGGTCCTGATAGATGTTCATGGTTTTGGGTTGTTTTTGGATTGATGTTGCTCAAAGTTTGCAGCTTCAAAGCCAAATATTGGCGTCAGAACAGGTGAGGGAAAACGGCTGCTTTGAGGTCCGCGCAAGAGACGTGCGTGTCTTGGAAGAACGATGGGTTTCTCACCACAAGGATGAGCGCGCCTTGACTGATCCGGTGAAGATACTGTGAATGGAGGAATGGATACTAACTGGTTGGTGGTTTGGAACATGTTTTGCATTTTCCATCATATGTGGGATAATCCTTCCCATTGACTAGTATTTTTCAAGATGGTTAAAACCACCAACCAGCTAATCAATGGGTTCACATTCTTCACATCATTAATATATAATGGATGTTCTATACTAACATCCATGGCTAATGATAATCTATAATGTTGGTAAAACAACGCCCCAAAGCACCATGTTTATAGGGGGCATGTTTACCATTCCCAGTCATGGGTGGTTTATGGCATTGTTTTACCCACATTATATACAGTATCCATTTCTATCCTGTAAGAATTCTGAGGCTCCATGACTTAGTTTGCAGCCGCACTCAGTGAGGTACCTGGATTTTGATGGTCCCTTGCTAAATGTATCATGTAGCTGGGGTTATCACCATCAATCCCGGCATTGCAAAACAGTCAGTTAGGCAGTTACCCTCTGGTAAACGTTTACATAACTATGGAAAGATCCACCATTTTCAAGTTCGGTAAATCAACTATTTCTATGGCAATGTTCAATAACTGTTAGTCATTACCAGAGGGTTTTCTTCGGGACAGGATGGGCTGCCATCTCGGTGTATCCCCATTGTGTCACCTGCGGTCACCTTGGTGAATCATGTCAGGCAAGCCTCTGGAGATTGCAAGATTGCTCGCGTTGTACAGTTTCCTGGCACCGTACCGGGTAGATTGTGAGGTTTGGAGAACACCAGGTAGACACGAGCATTTTTTGTAGGAATTGTTATATTTACAATCCCGAGAAGTGATGATTTTCCCGTGGTATGTAGGAAATTGTGAATCAAATGATGCTGCTTGGAAGAAGCACACACTACTCAGTTGCATGTTGCATGTAAAAAATTGCCCCAGTCACGTCCATTGATGGATCAATACTGTGCTATCCTGCTGTTCACATGTTCTTCCCACCATCAAAGTGGAGAACCCTCCGGTATTCAACAACGTGGCATATCGGACACTCCACCATTTATATCCACCATTTATAGATGTTCCATGTTTGATAGAGAGTAATCAATGTGAAGCCCCTGGGCCTGAGGTCCGTCCCAAGGCTGGGAGGCGACAGCCCGAAGATCTTACGATGTCACAAACCGTAGATTGTTTTCCCAGAAACAAAACATGATCCACGGTTTGGTTCTATGATATTCTAGGTAATTTTCAATTCAAAGAATGCTTATATAGCACTATGAACTTGGCGGATTCGTAAATTATGATCTCGAATGATATTCCCGAACCAAGAAATCCCGGGATGTGCGTCTAATTCCTGGTTCATACAGACAAGCATTCCATGTAATTAACTGGTAGATGGCCTCAGTTCGATAGCTGATAGCTGGTATGCAATCAACTGATCTCATGATTGTAGAGGCACGTTGTTTGTAAAGCTCTGATCAATGACCTATCCAAATGGTAAATGCTTCTGAAAGATCAGCATCCCTATTGATAGATTGCGGTTTTCATAGTTTTCATGGGCAGTTCCCGTTACAGATGGATGGTCAAAGTGTACATATGGGTGTGGCCGTCAAAACAACGCGTATAGTTATATACATACACATACATATATTATATATATATAGCCTGAAGTTGCACATGTTCATTTGCTGGAACAAGCTTCCCGCGTTGGCTGGTACGAGGGAGTGAGACTGATGAAACTATATATATATACATAAATGATCATAAATGATTATATGTTATGTATATATATATATATATGCACATTATATACATAATATACACCCATACATAAACGTCCCAAAGTGGATGGTTACCCTAAAATATTTTCATGACCCTTTTCGGACACAAAATGGTGGAGCCATTTTGCCATAACTGTGAGGTATTTTTGATAATCCCTTGAGCCATCGTCGTAGTGGACTTCACCTGGGCTTAGACCCGGTGATCCGCCGGAACAGTCACTGGGCCCATGCGGGGCGATGCGGAGATGGGATGCTGAAAGTTGCCGAAGTCTTGGGATTTTCAATGATTTTCATCAGTACTTTCGGAAACAAGTGGGGGGGGGTGCTTATGGTTATACTTGTTGGGGGATTTTCATTACTTGTTTGCTTATGATTATACTTGTGATTACCAATTTTGGGATGTTCAGCTGAAAGAATCTCCGCGTTGCACGGCCAACGCGCAGTGAAACGCACCACGAAATGCTGTAATTTACAACGTCTCGTGCTTGCAGACCAAAACATCCCAGGGCTCTTGTCATTGGGGACTATTACATATTATTACCGCATATTACCACAATCTACCAGAATTATTTTGATGATTTTCACCCCCAGTGCTGCCCCGTAGAATCTCTCCCTGTTGGGTCACGGGTCCCAGGTGACTTCGAGCTTTTTGCGTCACCATTGAATGCAGCGGTACCCAATGGGCGGTTTTCCAGCAAGTGGCCCCATGTGGAATGGCGCTTCGGATCGATTGGGCCACTTGGAGATTGCGGATGGCGCAGTAGGATTATTGGACCGGAGATTGGACCGGAGATTGAAGAAGTTTAAGAACAACAATAAATATTCTCCAACCATGTAATAATCCAAATCCATGTTGGGTTTGACTGTTTGTTTTGTTTTAAGAACCACATATTTTGGGGTGATGAGCTTTCATTGATTTAAGATTTTGCCATGGAATCTCACCATTTCAGCCATGTGTAAATCATCTAACTAAATGGGACATGGTTTTCATAGCTAACTGTTAAATTACCAAAACAATGGTATGAAATTGGTGGCAGCTAGCCGCCATTGTTTTGGTAATTTAACATTTAGGTAATAGCCAGTTTCATGGCATATTTAAAAACAATGGTATAAAATCAATGTATGTATGATTTTAATTGATTTTACATTTCTTGTTCTGTTGGCCATTATTATGGGAGAATTCACTTCCAAATGACCAATACGTTTAATACGGCATGGACAAGTTGCCTGAATCATTCCAGGTGCATTGTTTGATATTTCTTGGGCATGTCATGACTCTACCTAATGTCGAAGGATGGGTTGACTCATGTTCACCAACCAGGTCGTATCCATCCGTGTTGGAACATCTTCCAGTGAATTCGGAAGCTCGGAAGCAAGTGGAAGGGCGACCAGCGTGAGAAACCCGTGGAGTTGCATGGCTATGGGTCCATGCGTACTTGCAGCGTGACCATCATGACTTTTCCGCACTACTCCCTGTTTAACTGTTCTGATTTGTTCGTCTGAAAACTCCTGGCCATTTCTTTATGAAGATGATTTTCCCGCAACTGAGCTTAGCTTTCCCATGAACTTTTCCCGACTTTGCTGGAAATGGGAATGTTCCAGAGTTCCCGACAAAAACAAATGCATAGTCCTACTATTTTACATTGTTTTACTATGTACGAGGCAAATCTGTTTATTTTCCGGCTAATGCCGTTGTTGGAACACAGGTGCCCAAACATCTCATGGTCAATCCCCAGGGTACGTCCCATTATTTCTCCGTTCAATGCCATTAAATATGTTAAATGTTTAGATCCTTGAGGTTGATGGTTAAAAACCCATTAAAAACCCATGAATATACCATTATATATACCTATTTCCATCCTAATTATTAAGATCTTATTAACTTCCCATTAATACCCATTAAATACTCATTAGAAATACCCATGAAATACTCATTACTGGTTGGTGGTTTCAAACATTTTTTATTTTTCATAATATATGGGACAATCCTTCCCATTGACTTTCAGTCACTGCGAGACTCGCAATCATCGACAAAGTGACAAAATTGACTTTCATATTTTTCAAGATGGTTAAAACCACCAACCAGCTAATCAATGGGTTGGTAAATATACCATACATGGAGCATATGGGCATTAGAAAAACCCATACTCATGAAATTCATCCCCGGCCACGCCACAGGTGCTCTGCATCAATCCGCCCTTCACAGAGGCGTACCTCGCCGACGTCATGGCTCGGCTCCCGGAGCTGAAGCTGCGCTTCCGCTTGCGCCGCTCGGGATTTCCGTGGGATTTCCATGGGAAAACCATGAGAAAACCATGGATAATGGTGACTTAAATGGAAATATCATGGGATTTGGATAGCTAAATTGACTTAGAACTAGGTGAATTCTATGGTTTATGAAGTTTATGGTAGATATAACATGATAATATACGTACATATTATATATATACATAGTTAATTAGCGATGTAAACGGGCTCTATAAACCCACTTTATAACTAGACCCCACCTTGTGACATTGGTAAGATAAGTCAACGATTTCATGGGATTTCATTGTTGAGCTGAATTCCCTCCATATTTTTTCTGACGAGAATCAAAAACACATGAATGTCAACTCCTTATTTCCAGCAATACTTTATTAATAGAGTTTTTGTTTTATTTATTTCAACATATTTCAACCATGTTTCAATGTTCAGATTTAAGCTGCCCCATTTTTCTCACATCGAGGAATCGCGGTGCCTATCCTGGAGGCGCCGTGGCGCAAGAAGCTGCAAACTGCCCTTCCGGTGCCGCAGATCCTGACGCTAGCAGAATTGGTGGCAGTTCATCATGGTTCATCATTTTTGAGGATGTGATACGTATATCTACATACATACATATTATATATATATATATATTATAACATAAAAGTTGGGTAAAACAGAAATAAATCACCCATTTGGGAATGGTTTATACCATAATAAACTACGACTTCCTTTATGATATAAGAATATATAAGATGTAAATACATACCCGCTAGTTTTGTATATTTAAGGCAACTATATGGAACATCAGAATCTTTAGTAGTCAAATAAGGGTAAATGAGCATAAATCATCTATAAATTGGCCATTTCCCATTGCAAACTGTGAAATAACCAGAGGCATATAAGATCGATGAAGCCAGATTACCAGCCTTTGTGACTGGGTGGTTTTTTTGTTTGTTTGTTTTTTTTGCGAGTTCTCTCGCTGGCAAAAAAAAACATAGACAGATGTATTCATTGGTTGGTTGATTCGTTTGAATTGATTCGATTGGTTGATTTTATTTGATTGCATTGGATTTGAATGCATTTGAATTGAATTGATTTGGTTGATTGTATATATTTATTCACTTGTTTTTTCATCTGACATATATTTAAAAAAATAGTTGAACATATTTATTGTATATTTATAGATAGACGTAGACCTATGCGTTGATGTGTTTTAAAATTGTTATTTGCATGATGTTTATGTGTTTCCTGTGTGGTCTGGTTCCTTTTGTGGTAAATATCATGTGGCTCTGAACCTCCCAGGCTCGCCGCTGGTAGGGCTGTTGATCCCTGATTTGAGCAACCCAAAAGATCCAGATGCTGTGTCCAACTAAAATCATGTCACTCAATGATAAATTGAAATTGGCTTCAGATAAATTGATATTTATTTTCTGAATTTACAATGATAAATTGAACTTTGGTCTTCAATTGTAAATTGGCTTCCGCTACTTCCTGATGTCTGTCGGACTTCACCCCTAAGGAAGACCTACTACGATGCCACCGCCGAGACCCCAGCGGAAGTCCTGCACCCCACTTTGCTGTGGGAAGATCCGCGCTGTCCCCCGCGGCCTAGCATCAGTGAAGAAGAGAGCCACTTGGTGGATCTCTTGGAGAATTTAGAGCCACAAAAGGATAGGGATGGATAATGGTAATATATATGGTAATATCATTACTGGATAATATATGGTAATGTAATATATATATATGGATGGTGTTGATATATGTATATATATATGGTAATATATCTGGTAATATTCTTGGACTGCTGTTGGGGCTCTAATCCAGTTCCCCTTAAAGCCTTGTGGCTGCAACGCTGCACCCTGGTGGAATGTCTTGGATCAGATCGATGTGGATTTCCCTGGTACATTTGGATGAAACCATCACAGAACTGAGCTGAAAGAGATATTTTCAGAGATCGCAGGGTTGCTGAAAAAACAATAAAATATCTTCAATGGATATGTGTTGATTGTCACTTAAGGACTTAAGGCAGATTTGTGTTGTCTTTTACCATGTGCTCAATGTTTGTATTTGACCCAAGTTCACACCCCTCATGGCTGGGGGTAGCATGAAACTATGACCATCTGCATGGCCGATAAGATGACTATCCCTGCGATTCTCCATGACAGATTCATTGTGAAGTGCATATATTTGGAACTTGTTCAGGATACTTACGGATGGGAATAAGGGAATGGGATTATCACGAAAGCTAGCGTCAGCTAGCTGGAGTCTTCTTGCTTTAGCAAGTATTCCGGGGGCTGCTCAAGGACATCACGTGATTTTTCACGCGAAAGGGGGAGACCCCCACCACCACCACCACCATCACCACCACCATCATCATCATCGTCATCATCATCGTCATCGTCATCGTCATCTCATCATCATCATCATCATCATCATCATCATCGTTATTCAATTACATTTTATCATTATTGGCAATTATTGGCATTATCACGAAAGCTAGCGTCAGCTCGCTAGAGTCTTCTTGCTTTAGCAAGTACTCCGGGGCTCCCCAAGGACATCACGTGCTTTTTCACGCGAAAGGGCCCCCCCCCTGCCCCCTCCCCCATATATATCATTGTTATATATCATATATCATATATCATTGTTGCATCCTCGTTGGGACGAACAATGCCGCGACACGATGATGACAGTCCCTCCGCAACTCACCTCTTCCCTTCCTTCTTTCTCCTACCCCGCTAGCTTTCGTCATCCACCCCCGGCCTCAAGTCCTTGAATATTATTGATAGTTATTGTGGATCATTCCCTCATTCCCTGCTAAGCACAAGTAAGTAGATCTCGGCCATCTGTGGCAGATGTGAGGTATTGGAGAGGAGGTGCTGAGTAGCATGCAACCGCAGTTGGCATTCCACGTGGGTGGTTCCTTGATCACCAATGGCCTGGATCGGCGGGCATGGGATCAGACTTGGGTATCTTGTGATAGCCGTAATTTGAGTGAGTTAGGTTCTGAACATATATATATATATAATTATATATGATTATATATGTATATTATCAATATGAAAATGTATTGATAATTGGTCAAGTCAACACAAATAATATGTGGAATAATCTGTGGTACATATATAGTGATTATCACAAATTATGAGCTACCTATTAATTCACTATCAAATCAACAGTCCAGGCATGGGTGGCGCCTTAGCCGCCATGGTCTTACCCGTCACGGCGGTGCAGTTGAGCCAGGGAACATCAAAGGAAACATCTCCGACACTTGGACGAAAACTAAAGATTCAAATAGGATGTTATTGTGATTTCATAGATTTTACTGGGATTTTAACAGTTTGTTGGGATTTCATCGGATTTCATGGGATTTGAGCAGATTGTTGTTGGGTTCAATAGGATTTAGTTAGATTTTAAGATGTTTTGTTGGGGGTTAATGGGATCTAATGAGATTTTAATAGGATGTTATTCGAGTTCAAGCGGATATCATGAGATTTTAATAGGAATTTATTGGGGTTCTTGGGGATATTTGGGGATTCAATGGGATTTGATAGGATTTTGTTGGTTGTTACTGGGACTTATACAGATTGAATGAGAAATAATTAAGGGGATGTCAATCGGAATTTATTGGTCTTTAATAGGATTCGATGTTATGATTTAATATGATTTATGGGGATTCAGCTGTTACACAGAGTACACAATTCTCTTATCTACCTTACCAACGACGGTATCACGCTGATTGTTTCAACTATTTTTCCTCATCCCATTTGGGATGACAATCCAGTTTTCTTGGAAAACTGACTATTTTGAAGAATTTCTTGACATGGGGCCCAATTGAGGATTTCCTGGATTCTCACAGGATGGTTGTCAAATATATATATATATATATTATATAAATTATATATATATATATGATTATATACATGATTATATATATATATTATGTTATATATATGATTATATATATGATTATATACAGTAAATGTATCTAACCAGGTTTGTATGATATTTCTCCTTAAATGATCCCCCGATCCCGAGATCTCACAAGAATTTCCCGAGTCTGAGATCAGATCTGTCACCAACTTGTCCCCAGCCAAGTTACCCTGAGGTAAGCTAACACAGATGCGGAAAACCCATGGTTTCCGGAAAAAAAACATCTACAAATGTTGGGTTTCAACATCTATTTTGGTTTACAAGAGCCTATTTTCCTCATATGTCATCATGTTTCTTGATTTTTCCTATGGTTTCTTCTTTTTCCTGATATTTTTCCAATTTTTCCTCAAGGTGTTTGACTTCCAAACGAACTCCAAACGGCGTGCGACACCCCAGGACGCTGATTCCTGCGACTGCAACGCCCCTGAGCCTGCAGGAGTGGCCCGCGTAACTTGGACAAACATGGAGTTGCACCGTCCAAGATGTGTAAATAAATGTATATACATAGATATATATATATATATTATAATATATGCATATATATATATATATATGTACTGGTACTAAGTGTGCACATATATATATATATATTATGTATGTGTACACAGTGTATGCATATGTATGTATATATATATATATTATACATTGGCTAGAATATATGGACTGTATAATGTACGGATATGTTTATATATATATACATACATACGTCCATATGTTAATTGACTTATATTGGGGATTGACATAATTGATGGACTGGAAAATCCTCGTACCGAAGCGGTGCAAGGGATTGTCCGGGCAAGCATTTTGTGGGGATCCGGCAGTTTAAGGTGGTTCTATCTCCACAATTCATAGCCATATGGGGGTTTCTTAAGTCATGGGGGATCCCCAGTCGTCACCATGGGTTTCAATACGAAGTCATGGTCATCCATGGCGACTGGATGATTTGGTGGTATCCCCATGTTAGGAAACCTGCATAGCCACTGAGAATGTTAGCTCTGATGTTGGGTGCGCCTGAACCAAACTGGAGATATTCCATCTATAACAGGACTACGCGTGGTTACAAACCATTTACGATTTGTGGGATGCAGCCCCAAATAAATTTGGGTACTCAGTTTTTTATGCGAACCACACCAGAGCCTTTGCTTGACAAGAGAACCCAGACTGATCAACAAATCTGGATGTTTCACCAGCAAGCCCCACACATGATAGAATCACGTAAGGATATACTGATATACCCACGAAACAGAGGGCTGCAGTGGTTTTAGTAGGTTTTAGTGGCAGCAACAAATACATCGGTGAGTACACAGGTTGAAACCACGCTGCGCGGATGAAAAGCATTTCCAAGTGCTCGTGAAAGATGGCACCGAACGGTGAAAGAGCATGAAGCAACAACATAGAACAGCAACATATAATCATATATATATATAATAACTATCAATATCTTCAGATATCTATAAACATCTACAAACATATGTTGATATGTTCATGCGAGAATCCGTAGTGTCTTCCGTTGGTTTTGCCAACGGGTTTCCACCACCAAATCCCAGGTTGGAGCCTGTGCCGAAGTCTGCGGGCAAAAGATAGTGCTTGGTTTTCCACGTTTAAAGCTGGGCTTTGTGGCTCGAAATCTTCTGCCACGGTGCTAGCCATTGGGTTTGCTACATGGAAGTAGCGATTCAATATGGAGAAAAATCCAGGGGAAATTTTCAGAAGAAACCTGAGGGATTTTGAATGATTTTGAGGTACCAAACACAAGATTGGAAGAAGCTGCGCTGTGAATTTCTGTGAAATGTTGATGTTTATTTGATGTTTTTTCCATGACGCAGAAGTGGCAGATTTCGAGCAGCCGCCAGACTGTGTTAATGAGCGTTCCGGACATGGATCCACCCGCCACGACTTGATGTTGGAGATCTTCCCTGCCCATTCCTGCGGATGTCCTGGGTTTGCGTGGGCGAACTGAAAAAACCCTCTGGTAATTCAACATAGCTAGTGAAAAAAGGCAATAGAAATAGTTGATTTACCCATTAAGAATGGTGATTTTCTATAGCTACGTTAGTCTACCAGAGGGTACTGATTAGTCCGTTGATTCTCATAGTGAAATCACTGTTTTCACTCTTCCAATGATGAAATGGGTTTGTCTGGAAATTGTGGGAAAACCCCCAAAACCAGGGTGAATCATTTTCCCCCCCTCCAAATGCATCCAAATGCCATTTTTGGGTTTTCCCACAATACAACTCCAAATTGATGATTTGATATTTTAGAATGCGTGGTTTCACCAGTTTTCGAAGATGTTAGTCCTCCTCGGGCGCAGCAAATCCAAGTCTGACATGCATCCCTTTGACAGCTAACGAGACAGGTTTCACGCCTGCAATGCCAGCGTCGCGTTGCCGCTCCGTTTGTTCCAAAAAAACAAATTCTTCGCAGCTGCGGCTCTTAAATAAATATTGTTTGAAAATGGCAGTAGATACCCAAACATTCAATCTTAATAGGGACAATCAAAATGTTCTAATCAGTCTAATCCGTTGGAATGGGGCGCAATTACCAACAGTTTCATACCCAAATTCCGAGCTTGGGTCAGCCGGGTTGGTGTTGCCGCAACGAGCTTCTCTATGCCTGCACTGTATAACATTTTGATTTGTTTTTATAGTTCAAACATGTTCAAAATATGGATATGATTCACTGATTCACTCATTTCGTTGAATTCTCTTTGCTGACCAGTTGTTGGACCTGGCTTTGGTTGTCGATGAATGATTTTTCAGCCAATGTTTCTTTTGCCATATGAGGAAGAACACGATATCCCACTCGTCCATGCAGTCTCTAGCGTGCGCCATGGTTAGAAAAGGACATGTCTCCATGGCTTTGACTCGTGTGTTGTTTTATTCCCAACATGAACCCCACAATTGAATACTGTAGTATATATATATATATATATATGTGTTGTGTGTTCATGTTTTGCTGCAAGAGAATATTCAACGGCACCACCTAGTTTTTATCCCTGGAAAAGCCACCGATTTATTTTTGACACCAAACACATTGCAGTCGGAACCGGTCCAAACAACTGGTTTTCACTTCGCACTGTGAGTGCCTAGACAAATGCTTCAAGGGATTTGCTGGGTAATATCCTGGATACATCCCAGTTAAAAACATGATTAGAACAGGGTAAGTCTTGGATGGGGTAGGGCAAACAAAACATACCCAACTACAAATTCATGCATTGCCAGGTATCTAAGATTAGCCAGGAAGATTGGTGATATAGTATACCCTGGTTGCTATCCAGTGGAGAACAGATGTGTGAACGATTGCTCTTGCATTCCTGCGGATAGAACTGAAGCTTCTTAGATATTCCATGATATTCCCAGGTTTCCATGATATTCCCAGGTTCCTGCGAAAAAAAAAAGTCAACTGGAACATCCCGAAAGAGTCAATGATCCTCTGAAAAAATGTAGATGGTCCAAAGCCAGGTGATCTCACCAGGATGACCTGAGATGAAAAAAAGTCATATGATATCCATCTCCCTATATCAATCCCCTTCAATACCCTTAAATGATCCAAATCATTAGTAGATTTTTGATGATGTTTGCTCCAGTTATTTCCAAGCAATAATCCACCAGATGCCCCTTCCCTCGGATCCCGGCTTCAGCCACAGGAGCCCTTCGGGTCCCTGCTTCCGTCAGTTCCGGAGTTGGGCCCCATTGGCCGGGGAACTCAAACGCGGCGTTCTGGAAAGTTCACCCGTTAAGAGAGATATAGATGGGAATATCTAGAACAGGTGTATCGATTGGCTTGTGGATCCAGGTACGTCGAAGGCACTTGACCCATTTTGCCCCTGCAAATCATTGTTGTTGCGACCATCCTCATATCTAATGATATCCCTATAGAACTACACTCATGTCAGAAGCTGAACATTCTATTCTATTCTATTTTATGGACTTCTTATATGGCATGGGCGGCATGCGTCAAATTTGCATAGTTGAAATGGGACAGTTTGCACCCGGAAAAAAAATATGTTGAATGCCCAAAAGTGATGCCTTTGGAGATGAAAATTACTGGTTGGTGGTTACATTTCATGCGGGCTGTCAGCGTCCGACTCTGGCAGCGCGTCCGATAACGTGGGATAAAGTAGTGGTTACATTCTGGTTGGTGGTTTGGAATAATTTGGAATATGTTTTATTTTTGCATATAATTATTGGGAATAATCATCCCAACTCACTAAGGGGTTGAAACCACCAACCAGCATGTGTTTTTCAATTTTCAACCATAGACACGAGATGATGATTCCCGACTGATTTTCGTATGTTTCGGGGTGGCTCAACCACCAGCCAGATTGGATGATCAGGATGATCCCATTGAGGAGCTCATATTTTTCAGCGTTTTTAAAAGGACCCATCCATTGCTAGAAATCAACAGTTTCCTCATTGTAATGGCCATGAAATTGGGGTATAGCTCAGTTACATAGAACTTATTAAGCTTCTTGTGTGAACCAGTTGCCACAACGTGCCATGGTCAAGCCTTGGGTAAGTTTGGTTGTGATATGTTGTGCTTATGAAAAAATATCCGTTGTCATTAAACATTAGATATCATTAGATATCATTAGATATCATTAGATATCATTAGATATCATTAGATATCATTAGATATCATTAGATATCACTAGATATCATTAGATATCATTAGATATCATTAGATATCATTAGATATCATTATATCATATCATATCCATATTATTTGTCTGAAAATGGGGCCCCAAAAATATGCTTTCGGGAAACTGATGATTCACCAGTGGATTTAGACGTAGGCCCTAGCACCAGCTGAAGGTGAGCCCTCGGCCTCTGTCCGAAGCGCCTTGCTGCAACTGGAGTCGCAGGTGTAATCGGGCCCAAAAGGGATGGAAGTGGCTTTGGAAGTGGTTTGTATTTAAAATATCCTAATATGATCATATATATATAATGCATAATACATATATATATATTGTATATACTAGTATATGCGGTAGTATAGGTAATATATGGTGTGTGGCTTGTACCTAATATGATGATACTCCCATTCAACTGGTGTGCGTCTACACTTGTAATTATGTATATTGTGTCTTTCTATATATATATATATGTATATACATATATACCTGACTCCTCCGCTTTTGCCTCATTTCAGACCCGTTGCAAAAGGCACCTATGAAGATCGAGGTATTTAGTAACTATATGTGATATTAATATATTAATCAAATTACCTATGTATATATACATAGATAGATATCTACCTGGAGCGCAAGTGACCCAGGGATGGCTCAAAGTCTCACAAACTGGGGAGGTACTGTACGTTCAATGTCAGAGCTGGTAAAATAGTTCATCTTCATTTTTTGTGCGTCTTCCAATATGTTTCTTGGTAGTAATTCCCCCAATGCTTGGGTGATAAGACATGGGAGAACCATCTTATATCTATATCTTGAATTTATCCCAGGAACCTAAATACGGGTGCGGTGCAGCTCAATAATCGTGTTATTTTCCTTACTTTAAACCATCAGAGGGTATGGTCTTATTTGGTTGTTCAGAACCAGGGTGCAGACTTGGGGTCCAAGTTAGTAAATGGTTCACAACTATGGCTGAAATGCAGCCACATGCAGGATATCCATGCGTTGAGGATCCTTAATCCAATTCTAGACACCCTACAGAAATTAGTTCCTGGTTGATCTCCTTTCTGAACCAGTTTCATCCACTTTTTGGGATCAACTCCCATTGAACAAATCATGTTGATTCATGTTGCAGGGTTAGTTTAACCACCAACCACGTGATTTCTGGGCAGATCTTAACGATCCCCCTGACGTCAGGCTCTACTGCCTGGCCTTGCTGATGGCCGGCGTAGCGTGGGTAGCGTTGGCGCCGAGAGTCTCCGGAGTCTCCGGAGTCTCCTGAGCGCGTCGTCACCAGTGAAGATGATGGGGTTGGGAAGGTGGGGAACCAGGTGAGTTGGTGAGTTTCTGACTTGTTTCTTTGACCATCTTTGATCCAAAAAAGATACGATTCAGCTTGATGTGTATTTGTTTGGCCATATATCTAAGTTATGCCACGTAATTCTTTCCTTAAACAAGTTTTTTAGGTTTGAGATGCAACCCCTTTGTAACATCTTTGAACTCCAGGGCGATCCATCCATTCTGGGAAATGGAGAAATGGACCCAGCATCATTTCACAGCCAAATAAGTACCCCCGAATCGGTTACAAAATTCATCCAAAAAAAACAAAAAAATATGTTGATTGAAAATCCCCGTTGTTTTTCTTTCAAAAACCCCATTAAAAAAACCAGTGATTTGTTTCCTGAGGTTACCTTCAAGCTGGGCTGCAAGGACCCTGTGGGCCTGTGCTCAGTTGGACGTCCAGGCGGATCAGATGTCATCAGTATCCCTCACCCATACTGGTGCTGAGTAGGGAATGAAGGAATGAGATGGAATGAGATGATTATTCATAGTTATATTCCAGCCTGGTGATCCAACTAAGTACTATGGTATGACTGTGGTTATATTCTTACTGGTGATCATAGTTATGATCATTCCACCTTTCCGGACACTAAGCACCAGTAAGTCATATTTCATGGCCATGGCCATTGGAGGTATACTCACATAACACATTCTTTTAGATACACCCATATCACACACCAGCACCGGCTAGGAGCTTGGTGCCAGCTCCATCTGACTTGGCTTCATGATCGTTGTATGGGTTTGTATGAAAACCAGGTATCTTAGTAGGTATTTTCTGCTTTACCATCCTTATCATGCTTCCTGTATGTCATCATTGTCATATATTGTCATTGTCATCATCAGCAGCAGCATCATTTTCGTCCCTATAAAAAGAGCAGTTTTGGGGCAACCTCTCATCCAACGCACCCGTTTGGAAAGCATGTCACCTAGACAAAATACGTATTACAAGTACCTGGCCTAAAAATCTGGGAGTGGGTTGTTTTTTTCCCAGACTGCCATCCTTACCAGACTTGATCAGGATGGGACATGTGACTTGGTGAAAGAAGGTACTCACCTAAAAATACGATAACAAAATATGAATCCAATTTCCTTACTGCTCACAGGATCTGTCATGTCGTATTTTCTACTTGGTGAGTGGTGGACCAATACCAATTAAGGGCCATCAATTGATAGGGGATGAGCATGTATTCCTGCATCTGGCGTAAGAGCTGTGTTATATCTGGCTCATAACCCCAAGTTTTGGATTGCACTCATCCGTTATTTATGATAGCCCAAAAAATGAGTGTTGTCCATGTGATTGGTAGTTTGCATCGCTATATACTGCTGGCGACTTCCGGTGTATTGTGTTTAGTCGCTCCATCAGCAGCCTGTGCTGTCTCCAGTGGTCAGGTCGAGCTGAAACCTTTGGTGGTGCACTGTGAGAGCTGCCGCTTCTTAGAGGTGTGGTCATCATGGGTCACCGTGGGTATCGGTCAAGAATTCAGACCAGACCACAGATGGTTTTTGGTGCCATTGCCATGGAGGGTATCATGGGTTGACCAGGTTACCTGGCGATGGGGCATGGGCAGCACATGGGTATGAAGCCACATGAGTTGGGATAGTAACCCCTGATGACTTTGGTGAAATCTATCCACCTTTAAATTTGGCACTTCCGATATAATTTGTTGTTGCTTTGGGGATAATCCCAAACATCACCACAGAAAATGTCAACCCAAATGCTCAACCTGGCAGTCAGTCGTTCAAACAAAGGCTAGCTCATAGTCTTCTTGTCCTTTCGCAATTTGGGCGAATGTCATTGTCCAGCTGCGCATTGGATGTTTCCTGACTTCTTGACCCTTGATGAGTAATTGACTGTTATTGGGTTAATTTGAAAATAGGCGGACAAAAAAATGAACTGTCAAGACAAGCTTGAGATGAACTTGAGATGGCAACTCAAGTTGATCTAACAAAACTCAACTGTTGGTACCTGTTGATTTTGGCTATTAAAATTGCTGGTACAATTGTTGTTACCTGTTGGTATTTGATAACTGGTGATAAATGCTATCATACTGGTATCACATATTAACTATATAGTTATCACCATTCTTCACCCCCCCAAAAAAGATGCCGGAAGGTGTGCCACCAGAATGTTAGTTCGATGATATCTTACTTCAGATATTCAGTCAACTTAACTTTTCTATTGACCTTTTGGGGTTGCTATAACCTCATTGGTTCAATTTTGTTGGATTCTGATGAACCACCCAATAATTTCCCATAACAATTATCCCCAGTTATATCCCAGTATTCTGATTATGCCCATTTGTTTTCCGATAAGACTAAGCTAAGATACTATATTAAATATATTAAACGTATTACATATATATATATACCTGCATATACATATATATATATATATTATACATATGATTGTATTGTTTTCTGATGAGCTTAACCCATTGTATATTCTCTGTATATCCATATATTGCGGTATATACAAATGCTTATATCTGGTACGATATATCCTGCCCTTGAGGCCTGCGATGCCGAGGAACTCCTGAGGACTTCAACCGGAGCGGAGATGAAATACCGGAGTTCCGAAAAGAAGTGGATATGACTGGTTAGTTATAGCTAAGTTTAATAAGCACTGTTATGTTATGTTATCAAGTGTTTTTAGTATGTCAACCATAACACCATGTCTTGATTTAGCAATAGCTTCCAAAAATGTTCGTCTGTAAATGGATATGTACTCTCATGTTCATAGAGATTAATCATAATCATAACCAAAATATTGATGTTTATCATATGCCATCATAGTCCCTCAAGAAATGGAAAGTTCAGAATATTCAAGTGGTGCTATTTTCAATGGATTTTGCATCCAGTGAAATAGTAATCTGAGAAACACCCCCAGTGAGAAGGCCAGTTTAGTACTAAAAATGATGATCACCTGCTGTAAATGTAACATGGCCATGGAACGTGGTTCAATAGATAAATGATCTACAAACCGGCCATGTTCTAGCTATGTTAGATTACCAATGGGTATTGTGTGTCATATAGATTTCTATAGTATATCGCCCAACAGATGAACATGTGCTAGGGTTAATTGAGGAACTCATCCAACAAAATTGCCCCAAACAATGCTGAAATGTGTTCACAAATCGAGCATTTGGAAATAACACCTCACTGTGATTACAAAACTTACTGGTGCTTAGCATGCTGGGGGTTGCTCGGATATACTAGTGATGAAATGGATCATTCCCGAAAATTCCCTGCGTAAAACGCACCAGACAGCCGCGTTCAATAGGGGGATGACACATCCCATTGTTGATCATGGTGAAAACACTGAAATCCCCATGGTTAATAGAGCTATATCCCATTAATTCCCAGTTATATGTATATATACATATATATATATATTATATACATATCCCAGATATTTTCCATTGTTTCCCAGTTACCCTGGGGTAAACTAACATAGATTTGGAAAGGCCATGATTTCCCATTTGAAAAATGATGGAAGATGATCTACTTTCATGGTGGGTTTGACACATCTATGTTAGTTTACAGGAGGGTATATCTCATTATATCCCACTTATATCCCCAAGTATCTCTAATTATATATCAATATATCAATATATATATATATTATAAGTGTATATAAATACATATATATATATATACAATGTATCCCAGAGAATTATCCCATTATGTCCCATGTTATATCAGTTATGTCTCGCCAAAGTCACCAGGCTGCTGCCTGTCCTCCCCGCCCTGGACGCCGTCGCAGCGTCGCTGCTGGTCACCGTCGCGGCGTCTTTCGCCGCGGCGGTGCGGGAGCAAAAGCTGTCGCCGCAGCAAGGTGGGAGAATCGCGGTGAACTATGTATATGGCTGTATATAATGTTTATGGCTGTATATCTATTATAGTATATAGATGGATATAATTCCATTATAGCTTTATATAAACATCTGTATATCTATATCCATTATGTAACATGGCTATTGAAAATGGCCATAGAAATGGTGGATTTTCCCATTAAAAATGGTGATTTTCCATAGTTATGTTAGTTCACCAGAGGGTATAATGTTTATATAATGTTTATGGCTGTAGATGGATATAGATGAATTCATGGATCAATAGTTTTTCATGGTACCCTCTGGTAATTTGACATTGCTATGGAAAGATCCACCATTTTTTTATGGGTAAATCAGCTATTTCTATGGGCCATGTTCAATAGCTTTTTGTTAGTTTACCAGAGGGTAATGTTGGTAAACATATGATGTTTATATAATGTTGGTAAATGTTTAGATAATGTTGGTAAAACAATAATGAACCACCTATTTGGGAATGGTAAACATACCACCTATGGGTGGATAGGATAAGTGGAAATGTTAGTGGAAGATAGTAGGAGAATCATCTAATTATGGTCCACACATATTAGTTGGTGGAAATATTAACTAAGAACTATGTGGAACTAAGGAATATACAACTATGTATACTAAGCCCACATTTACTGTATTATGAGAATCTACTTATAGTTCATAGCCGCATGTCAGAACCGCATGTAATACGGACTATACGGACCTAAGTCATCGTTACCCTTTGGTAATTCGTAGCGAACTGGAAAATCACCATTGTGAAGAGGTAAGTCATTATGAGGATTTTTTTTTCGTAGATATGTTAAATTGCGAAAGGGTAGAGTCGATGTCAAGGGAGTATTGTGGGAACACCATGAGATAATTTTGGTTGCCACCGTCCCGGTGTGAGTCGTTTTGATTTGCGTGTGCTTGTGGACTTTATGGGTTCCCCATGGTTTCCCATTTTCTGACAATATCTCAGTTCCAAAACGTTATACCCTCTGGTAATTTAACATAGCTATGGAAAATCACCATTTTTAATGGGAAAATCCACTATAAATGGCCATTTTCAATAGCTATGTTAGTTTACCAGAGGGTACATAACAGCATTAACTATAGCCCTACTTAAACACAAAGCAGTTTTGATTCATGGGCTGATCCTCCGCCATTTTGGGACAAAAACTGGTGCGGCCGGTGGGTCTATGGGGCGAATGATCCTCTGTCGAATCACTCTTACTCTTTGGGGGGGGGCAGAAGCTTGACCCATTCAAGGTGGAAAATTGAATCTGAATTGAAATTTTGAAGATCATTGAATTGCTATCTCATCTCTGTATGAGTATGTTGTGACCATCATAGTTTCCATCAGAGGGTATGTGTCGTTTCACCAAATGATGCACCTGCTTTCACTGTGGGATGTGAACCTGCTTGTTTTCCATGGTGTGCCCACTGTGGGGACTATTCCCAGGTATGGTTTAGATACAAGCAGCGTAACCAGGGTTTATCCCATTCAGAAGTCTGTAAATTGTGTTTACGTTTTTAAAAGGGGTCAAAATTGCAATCCTCATTCCCTTGGTAGCTTTGCTACCTGGGCCCGGGTGGTATGATGAGAACAGTAGAAAATGTTGAATCAGTTTCATGTACAGTAGATGGCTGTAGATGGATATAGATGAATTCATGGATCAATAGTTTTTCATGGTACCCTCTGGTAATTTGACATTGCTATGGGAAAGATCCACCATTTTTAAGTTCGGTAAACCATCTATTTCGATTAGGGCCATCTATACCATGGCGAACTGTTCGTCATTGCTATGGAGAGAACGTGATCCCGGCGATCCCAAAAAATCCCATCCCCATTCAAACATTTTCCATGGTGGTCCCAAAGATGTGGTTTCATCCCATATTAAACCATGATTCATGGTTTTTTAAATATGAAATCCCATATGAAACCATGATTCATGGTTTTTGTTTCATGAACGGAAGGGATTACCCTCTGGTAAACTAACATAACTATGGACAATCACCATTTTTAATAGGTAAATCAACTCTTTCTATGACCATTTTCAATAGCTATGATAGCTATGTACAGCTATGTTAGTTTACCAGATGGTAGCCATCTTAGCCATCTTGAAGGGTTCCCGGATGTTCCCGGCATCGTCAGGCGCGCACGGCCTCTTGTCCCTCAGCCTGCTATCTGCATCCAGCGGTGAAGTGTGGGACGCTCTGGAAGACGCTTGGATGGGCGGCAGTGGATGAGCTGCTTTTAAGTGACATCCGTTGATTTTGTGACATCCTTTTTCATGAGGTCTTGGGCCCCAAACAATACTGGTTGGTGGTTTGGAACATTCTTTATTTTTCCATACATTGGGAAGAATAATCCCAATTAACTGACTATTTTTGTTTCAGAGGGGTTGAAACCACCAACCAGGATACTTGATTTTATTGGACGGTTTTGTATGTCCAAACACGTCCTCTGTTTCATGAAGCTTCAGAAAAACCCTTGCAGAATCCACTGGATGGTTCTGCAACAACTGTCAATTCTGAAGTAATCCGAATTTCCATACAGATACCTATACAGTATATATATATATATATACACATAATTAATTATACATATATATATACCTATACAGGATAAATATATATATATATATGTACATCATATATATATATATATATCATATATAAACACTTATACAAAGAGAATATCCGCAGTTGCCATGGCTGCATGTTCTCCATCGCGACGGGAGGATCGGGAGCTCTCAACAGCGTCGCGGATGGAACTCTGCTTGGCGGCTCTGTTGGAGGCGCTGGTGAGTGTTGTAGGTGGTTGTGAAGATTTCTGATGTTTATTTGAGGTATTTTAGATATGGTTGGGAGCTATATAATTATATAAATACACGTATTATACGTATAGTATATGTATATATGTGTAATTCTATATGCCCGTGGGTTTATATAATATGTTATATATATATGAATATATGTTATGTATATATATATACACCTATATGTATGTCTATACATATATGTATATATATATACACATATATAAATATACAGTGTATAGATTTAAATATAGACATAGATATAGATATGTGTTCTATAGCCAGATGGTGAAGATGTGTTCCTTGTTTGTAATGATGATCCAAGATGACTTTCATATGTTTCAGGGAGATGACATCACCAGCCATTGATGTGATGTGTTTTGTCTATGTGTTCTGGTTTGGACAAGTGTCCTCTAAGATATCTTGTTCCTAAACAAGCAGCAGGACTTTCCCTTTTGCAAAGTGTACTCAAGATGTATCAGGGGGGCAGCCAGAAAAGTAGAAGACCATTTGATTCCTTTGGTTCTTAAGATGGACACGAAATGTGAATGAAGGTTGACAATGGTATAATATCCAGTCTGATCCATGTTTACATCTATTCATCAATGATATGATACAAATGAAGTATCCATCAAACATTCATGAATACGATGTTCATTATATAATCAGTGTTGAACATACTGTTACTAGTAGTTCAGTGTTATAATGATTATACATATGTTCATTCAGTGTATACTGTACATAACTATACTATCCATTTAATCAGTGTCATTAATGTCCATTAACTATCTATAATGAATACTGTCTGTTCATTCATGGATAGTTCAGTGTATTTTGCTTCTTCCCGCGTCCAAAAATTAACCGCTGCTGCAGGCGGTGAATCGAGGTGCGGCTGATGCAGCGGTTGATGCAACCCATGTTACCCTCTGGTAATTTAACGGTTTGCTATTGAAAATGACCAAAGAAATAGTGGATTTCCCCATTGAAAATGGTGATTTTCCAGTTCGCTATGTTAAATTACCAGAGGGTAAACTGTTCTATAACTGTGTGTTTTTCCAAGCAAAACCAAGACAGAGTGGGTTGGAATTTTCCTGTTTTTCGGTGCTTAAGTTTTCAGCTCGCAATAGCTGTTTTCGGTGTTTTTGGGTTTGAGTGATGGTGAATAGATGTCCTTTTCCCACTGACCAATGCTAAAGCGGCTCAATGATTCTATTGGCATCCCCAGTGTGATTGTCATTTGGATGTGGGTCAAAATGGAAGACCGAGGGAACCACAGATGTTAGTCTAGTTTAGTATTAACCATCCATAATTTTGGGGTACCTAATTTTGACCCATACCCATTTTGTCCCAAGTTTGTGTGTGTTTTTGTTTTCAGACAGTGACTTGTCATCTGGAGATGAACCGATGCACACCCAATTCCTCAGGCGATGAACCAATCGACGTTACCCGAGTGCAGCGTTTGCTCCAGAAAAGCCGCAGGGGGCCTAGATGACGGAGGAGGTGTACATAATACTATGTACATATTTATACATATAAATACACGTGTATATGTATAATTATGTATATATATACTGTAACGTACATATGCACATAGTGTACTTCCTGTACTTCAATTTCACATCCAAAAAAATCAGCCATTTCGGTGAACATGGATAGTTGGTGCTGAGGCCACCTGAGCGGGGCGAATTTGTTGCTGTTGCAGCTACTGGAGGTGGGGTTAACCTGTCAGAAGTGGCAGTGGTGGTTGCTTATTGGTTGTAGAGTATTGATCATAGATGGTTAAAGTATGTTAAAGTCAGGCTTTTAACATGTTTTAACCATCTATGATCAATACTCTACAATCAAACACTGTGATGGTAGCTATCTATCTTCATCGCATTGCGATTCATGGGTTTGTTACCATAAATTATGCGATGCGTGGGATGGAACTAACCAGGGGGCTGCAGCGAAACGGTGATGACTGGTGATGTGATTGTAGCTTTGACCTTAGCTACCCCCAACAAAAAAATAAACTGGATAGTTCAGCATGGGATTACTCTCCAGCAACTTAAGAAAGCTATGGAAAATGTTCATTTACACACTGATTTCCATGTAAAAGAAATGTTGACTTCCATGGTTCGCTTAGGTTCCCAGATATCAGAGGGTAAGCACAGGCAATATTTGTGTGGCCTTGCCGTGCCTTGCCCCTGGCCAGATGGTCGGATGGTCGGTGTAGCAACAGCCAAAAAATCTTCCACAGTCATCTGGTTGGCCTCAATCATTGATGTCCATTCCTAGAAATGGGATGATGATGCACTTAGTCAAGTGGTTTAATTATAGACTATGTATGACTATTTATGACCTACATAAGTTATATAACTTTTGTATTTTCTATATAAGTACAATTTTGACATATCTTTTGAGGTGGCTCAACAGCCCGTGTTTTTTCGTTCGCCAGGCCATCTTCTCCAAGCGTTGTGTGGCATGGCCAACCGTCGCCGTGCCGAAGAAGGTCGGTGAACTTGGTGAACGGACGTGCGGATGGCGAAATCTTCAAGTTCGGGAAATTCATGGGATTTCATGGGATTTTTAATGGGAGTTCATGGGATCTCCTGGCTAATAGGGTGAATCAACCATCAATCGCTGGTGATTTCATAGGATTTTCCAGGTGGATAAAGCTGCGATAAACCAATAGCCCAATGGAATGTATTTTTTTTTATCCAGGATCATATGGATTGATATAAAAATGAATCACTACGGGATAACTAGGGGATAAACCATCCCCTATATTTGGGATGATGTAAAATGACCCCGAACTGCTTGGTTAATTGGATGGTTTATTATTGGGTTTACCACAGTACTAAATAGCCATGGGGAAGCCAGTTACGGAGCTACAAAAAAAATGTGTTCAAGCACATGAGACTTTTTATGGAATTGTTTGAAACTTGGGTACTCTGAAAATTATATGGTATATATATGATAATTTTACCCATTAAAATAGCGATAGATCGGAGGGTATACCCCATGTTCAGATACATCCAAATAGATTGACAAATCCTGAAATCAGGGACGGCAAGGTAAAAATGCATATCAACTGATTATCAACCATTGAAAAAGGACTACATCAATGGTTCATTGGCCATATAAATTTGGATGCTGCCTCTTGGTTTCCTCTAAATTAACTCAATTTTCAAAAACTAACTCCGGTTGACACCCTACTACATGCGTGGACTTGTGGCTTTCCTGTGTGAGGTGTACCCCTGAAATTCAAGATCAGGAATTGCACATCCACAGACGAGGATGCTGGAACCCTTGCTTGGGTCAGTCATTCCATGTCATTTCAATTTGCAGTAGATTCTTTCCACGGTCAAAATCTGTTGAATATAGAAACCATGGTATTGGTGAACGTTGATTTTAAAATGTGTTACCAGATTTAAAGGTCACTGTAAATGACTCTAAAACCTGGGCAAACATATTTTCACGTCATCTATACCCCAAAATGTCATGATGTGTTCCGTGGTTTATTTTACCCCATAATTTGACAAAGCCGTTCTGCATTGGCACTGCCAGGTGCTTTCTATAGAGGTTGCCTGGCTGAAGCGTTGAGTGTGGTCCTTCCAAAACGGTTTCGCTTTGCTGATTGTGTGAGTTTTAACTCATATTCTAGTGTAATGTATATATACCACCGGAGTACAATCATTCAAGATAGAGTACAACATCCCTCGAGTTCAAAAGTTTGAGGATTTTCCGAAATCTGTGATGTTCCTAAAATGTCGATTCCATGTATACTTCAGGATGGTAGATTAAAACAAAAGTAATTGTGTACTGATTGATTGGAAATCCCTTGTGGGGAATCCAAAATCTCTGGATGGCTTTGAGTCAGCTGAAATCACCACGACTAAAAAAGGATTGTCCTGGAGTTAGTACTGGTTTTGGTTTTCCTGATCCGGGTTTTTAATTAGTCTCCGAAATGGGATTATCCAATATATGAATAATTATAACCCTGAATGAGTCTCATGGGATTCTCTCATTAAAAAGTGGCATAAGTACCAAGCAGAGTTTGCCTCCAACATCTATGACCGCCAAGGAGAGACCTCCCAGCTGGTTGATTGCAGCCAAGGTGCGGCTTGGGAATGTGATTTTTACTCAATCCCAAAAACCATCCCCATCTTTTCCAGGAATAGTAGGTATAAAATGGTAGAAACATGTATAAACGATCCCCAAAGGGAGGATAGAAAATGGTGTATGATTGGCATCACATTCTGGAAAGATCGCCTCCTTGGTTCCAGCTGCCTGGGCTCAGGCGTCCCGCAGAACAGAGGCTTGGTTCATGTCTCTCGGCTCTATACCGAGAATTTCACCGTTTGCTGGAAGGGGTTCCCAGTTCTAATAGCTAAATCATCCATAGATCAGCCAGACCAGCCATTTTCCTTTTCGCAAAGTCTGGAAATTACCAGTGAATGGTAGTGAGTAGGTGTTTTTCCTTAACAATCTGCTGGGTGTTGTTTTGGGAATGTTTGCTTTGACTGATTTTAACTCCCTGACCTGTTTCTTGTTCCAACTCAAGTCCTAGGAGTTGCAGCATGCCTTGGGCTGCTGAGCCATCTGAATCAACTTCTCCTGTCCTCTCTTGGTATGGAAGCTGCACAAATTGTGGGAGTCCAACATGTTCCTTAAGATTTGTTTATCCTGTCCAGAGAGATGTAGTCTTAAAGTCCACATGTTTCAGATGCGGGCCATTGCTTTTGACTGCTTTCGGATGTTTCCACGATTGTTTCTACTCATCGTTGGCATCTAAAGACTCTGAGGCCTTGGAGGGATAAGTGTTGAGCATTGTTGAGCCCCACCTGCCGCGCTCAGGTTACTTTTGAAGAAACCAGGCGGGAGCTCTTGGCTCACCTTTGTTTTTCACCATCTGGGGAATCTACTGGGACATACTGGGACTATTCTTATCACAAGTTGGGATATGATATGATGATATGATATGACGCCCACAACTGTGGTGAAATATAATCACCTATCACCACTGATGACAACCATTTGTCAGTTGAAACTGCACCCCTAAGATCCCTAAGCATTCGATCCCATTGGGAAGTTCCTGCAAGTCCTCCTTTTTTTGTGCCCAGGCTCCGCGCGTTGCGGCGCGCCGGTCACGCTTTCATCCAAGACGTCCGCTGTGCTGAATACGGCGCGGCAGCGTCTGGAAGCCATGCTGCTGGAAAAAAGCCATGCTGCGCACAACGAAGGGCTCGGGGAAGCTGAACGGGGTTGTAGCTAATAAATGCTAATAAGCCAATGGAATGGGATTAGCAGTTACTGTAACCCAATGATGACATAGTGGTATATATATATATATACATATAATCAGATTCTGTAAAAAAAATAGGTAAGCCTATGAGTCCCACAGTAATTATATAGTTTATACATACGTATAAATTATCATTAACTATACTTTTTTCTTCCCCATAGATTCTTGCTTAATAACCCACTTATTTACAACCCGGTACACGGGAAGCCAGGTTGGTGCCAAGAAGGTGCGCGTGCGCCCTGCCAAACAGGTGCCAAAAAGGGCAGCATCGCGGCATCGCGGCATCGCTGTTCCAGGGGATCGGTTGCATGTTGTTCTGGATTCAGATTGTTGGTATATCCACATGGAATATGTTAATCCACATGGAATATGTTGGTGTATCAAACATATTTCTTTTTATATTGTTCAAAACCCTTTTCAATAGGTGTATCCACATGGAATACCTATTTTGGACTTCGTTCTGAACGGGTGGTTTCCTCTGTGATGCCGAAATCGTTCGAAATCTTTGCAGGTCAAATGGTCAAGCAGAGTCAACCATGATGTTTGGCTGCGTTTCCTGTTGGTTTCTTGTTGAAACTCATTTAGAAGAGTCAAAAGCAATTGTTACATTCTTTAGATGAATGTCCAGGATCCAGCTATACTGGCTAATTATACAGCTATTTGGGTATGTAAATAGATGACATGCATCCAAAATACAAGTTTTCAATCGGGAAAACGAAGGTTTGAGACCATGTTTTAAAACCAGGTGTTTGTTTTGTTTCTTTCATATTTGTTCCCCACATTTTCGCATTTTCGGACAACCACATGTTGTCCAGGCTCCGCAAGTCGTCATGGAGTTGGATGACGACTAACGGCGGCAAAAGAACTTGTACTGCAGTGGGGCAGGGGCCGCATGTGGAATCTAAGTCTAAGTCACTAGTCAATCGAAGTGATTTTGTAATGCGGAGTCAGGCGGGGTCCTAGTCCTTTTTTGAAAATCGTTGAGATTTGGATGCTGGATTGGACCAACCAAAGAGTGGGGATCGAAGCAGTAAAGTTGAGATTTTTGAAGTAGCAAATGTTCACTTTGAACAACCATCAATATGTACTTTGGGAACAATATATATATAAACTATGATATAACAATGATGATAACAAACATAATCACCATCATCATCATCATCATCATCATCACCACCATGGATTTGGGAGTGACAAGGTCAATTGGCTCCCAGACTAATAGTAGCCCAGCTAGCTTGTTGCTACTCGAAAGGGAAGTGAACAGAAAAGCAAGGAAGAAAGGAAGAGGAAAAGAAACAAATTGCTGGGAGGTTGACATAGTTGGACCCTTTTTATTTATTACAATATATTACAATTGAATACACTTGATAGATTTTGATCTGTGGGGCTGGGGTTTCAGTCGTTGGGACACCTGTAATTGGGATGAAGGGGGTACCGGGTACCTCTAGATCCCCTAGTACAGTGAGCCTCCCAAGCCATCGTCATTTTGGGGATTGGTGTTATTTTGTTTGATAAACGAACCATGAGACATATCGTGTTTTAGATTTTTAGAGGCCAAGGCACAAAATGCGAGGATAATAAACATACATCCAGGATCATCCAATCATATTATATATACACACAATTACACACATAATATGGAAATATATGTGTATATATATATTATGTATATATATATATTGCTTGTTGTTTGGGTATGTTTAAGCATGTGGCATCCCGCCATTTCTTGGATGTTGGTCGTGCTTAAAAAGTGGTTTCATGTTTTATCTCAACTGATCTGTTTTGGGCCAATCTTGGACGGGTAGTTCAAGATGTTCGTATTTTTTGCTATATATTTAACACCATGGTTTATTACCCGGTTATTTAACATAGCCATGGAAAATGGCCCATTTATAGATGATTTTCCCATTAATACCTCCATTTATAAGGGATTTTCCATGGCTATGTTAAATAACCAGATGGTATATATGTGGGAAACATAGAGGTAGAACAGGGTGTTTCATGGGAATATATGAGGTAAACATAGGTAAACACCATGTTTTTTTTAATAAATAACACCAAGACTTTGCTAGAGACACCATTTCCTAAGACTGAGATCGGACTTGTTTTTCCAAGGGGCCAAAAGGGTGAAACCAGCTGCTGTCGGCAGCCCATCGGTTTAGCCTCAAGTTGTTATTTAACGTTGCGTCGCACATTCTTTGGAGCTGATCCAATATGGACAAGGTGGGGTACCAGGGGTCCAACATAGGACGGTTGAGCTCCAATGGTGAGCGTTGTGAATCTCTGCCGAATTTTGGGCCTGAAAGTTTGATTGAAATGCCGACTTCTGCCCAAAAATCTTGATGTATATCTATGTTCAATTTGTATATTAATAATTATTCCACATATACACAACGTAATATACACAAGGTAATATATATATATATAATTATTTATACTGTACAAATACGCATAGAGTAACCCACGAAGATGCACAACACGCATGAGAAATACTGTACTATCAACAAGAGCATCCAGCAGGAAACAGGCGTTTCCCAAGACGTGTTTGAACTTGGTCACCTGGATCGCTGAAATTGATCGTCCATTGTGAACTTTCTATTTATCAACAAGTAGTTGGGGCTAGCTTGAGGTTTTGGACACAGGGAAAGAATTCTGACAACTACTAAAACCAGCACCTAAGTTGATCATGTTCAGTCTTGGAATTGTCAAGGTGTTCGCTGGCAAAAACATTCCTGTATAGTTTATAGCAGCCTCAGCTACTGCCAACCGTGATCCGCAGGGCTCTTCAATGAGAAGCCTTCTGTGGGAGTCTGACTTGCTGATGCCTCGCTGACATGTTGAGGGATCCACACAGTGGACATGGCATATACCTTTCAGTGATCTCGGTTTGCTGTAGTTTCCCACTGGAAAATCCACCACTTCGGAAGTGCGTGTTTTTTCTCCTCTCTCTCTCTCTCTCTCTCCCTCTGTATATATATATGTGTTTATTTATGTATATGTATATGTATATGTATATGTATATGTGTATGTATGTATGTATGTATGTATGTATGTATGTATGTATGTATGTATGTATGTAATGGTATGTTATGTTATGTTATGTTATGGTATGGTATGGTATGTATGTATGTATGTATGTATGTATGTATGTATGTATGTATGTATGTATGTCTGTGTGTGTGTATGTATGTATGTATGTATGTATGTATGTATGTATGTATGTATGTA